CAGCTACATCTGAAGTTATATTGTTTTGGCATAAACAATGGCCTATAAATGCACTACATTATGGTTGTTCACTTAACATTTCTAAAATGCAACAAAGCGGAAAGAGCTAAGATTAAGAAAAGAATATGGGATGCCTAGGTGGCTCAGTCAGTTAAGTGCCTCTTTGGTTCGGGTCATGATCCCAGGGTCCTGGGATGTCCTGCATCAGGTTCCTTGTCAGCGCGGAGCTTACTTCCGCCTGTTGCTCCCCTTGCTTCTGCGCTCTCTCTCACTCCAACAAATATATAAAATATTAAAAGTGGATGCTCACATTAAAAAATGACATAAAATCTAATTTAAACTATATCATCACCTCAATAACAGATCCAGTTATGTGTATAGCTGTCTCCTTCCACCTTACACAGGGCACTTGGGTTAAAGAATGGTAAATCCTGGTACTTGACAAGTTCTCAGCAAACAGTGCTGAATAAATGAAGTTAATGTAACTCTTTGCCTCCACTGGACCTTTCTTAAACCAACCTAAATAAATTGGCATTCATTCAATGTTATGCAAACTAAGATTGCACTATTTTCACTATGAAGATACAAATATGTAATAGTCTAAGAAAAGTCAGTGAAAAGACAGGTTATACTACTTGTAGCTTGAAACAGTAATTCCAGAGATTTTGGAATGCTATACCTCTGATGTACTAATCACTGACATACACCCTCCTTATTCCATATACGGAATGTCGTTCATTGGCTACTTAAACTAATTTATGTAATGTTTCCATTTGCTTAAGAACTTTGAAAAAATGTGTGTGTGTGTGTGTGTGTGTGTGTATGTGTGTGTGAGAGAGAGAGAGAGAGAGAGAGATCAATTTCTAGAGAGACCAATCCTGGCACAGTGGAAAGAATGCTGGAAAGAGAAGACAAAGGACTTAATTCCAGCTTCTCTACAATTTTATTTAACTATGGCCAAAGCCCTTGGTCTTCTCAGGCCCCCAGCTTCTCTTCTATGGCATGATGTGTACCAGGAGAAAGTATAGCCTATTCAAAAGTGCCTCCAAGTAGTAAAAAGATTTAAAAAACAATTATGTTGATACATGTTTTGAAATGTCTGTTAACAAAAAAGTGAGACCAAAGGGCTCGGAGCTCAGGAGAAGGGTTCCTAGAACATATTCATTCCATCTGCTGGGTGGAGGCTGAAACATATACATATTTGTTCAAAAATTTTACAGGAGGCATTTGCTAAATGATTTAAAAGTTACATAATGAATAAACAGTAGTTGCTATAACATATAAATACCTTTACATCAATGCTAAGATAAGGACTGTGATCCTTAATTTGCCTCAACTTGACTGGGCCACAGGATGCCCAGACTTTTGGCCAAACATTATGCTGCGTGTGTTTCTGAGGACAGTTCAGAATGAGATTAACATTTGAATTGATAGACTGAGTAAAACAGATTGTCCTCCTGAACATAGATAAGCCTCATCCAATCAATCAAAGACCTGACTAGAACAAGAAAGCTGAGGGAGAAGGAATATTTCCCGCCTGGCTGCTTAAACTGGCATATTGCTTTTTTTCCAGCCTTTTGACTCAGCCAGAAATACCAGCTCTTCTTGGAGTTTCCTGTCTGACAGCTTTTGGACTGGAATTCATACCATCAGCCCTCCGGGGTCTCCAGCTTGCTGACTGCATATCTTGGGACTTAGCTTCCATTATCACATGAGCCAGTTCCTTACAATAAACCATACGGATGGATAGATAATAAAAACACATATTTATACACACACTATATTTAGAATATATATACCTAGACACTATTGGTTCTGTTTCTCTGAAGCAAGGATGAAATCCTTAGCATGGCTAAAAATGCCTTACATGAGCTGACCTCTCCCCACCTCTCCAACTACATCACATATCTTGATGCCCACCACCTCCACTCCAGCTTCACTGATTTTATTCCATTTCCTCAAACACACCATGCTCTTGCTGTTGGGGGGTTTCACTCATTTTTTCATCGATAAATTCAACGAATTACTGAGTTCCTACTGTGAGTAAAGGACTTTGGTGCTGTGGAGAATACAACGTGAACAAGAGAGCAAAGTGCCTATTTTCATGCAGAATATATTCTAGTCACTGGAGACAAAAATAGCCTATAAACAAACAGGTTAATTTCAGAGAGTGACATGTGCTTCAAAGGAAATAAAACAGAGGGATACAGTGTAACAAAGTGACCAGAGAAAACCTCACTCCATCCCTACAGAATCTATGTGGTAAGAAGGGGACAGCCATGTGAAGATCGGAGGGAAGAGTGTTCTAGGCAGAGAAAAAAACAAACACAAAACTGGTTCTAAAATGAGCTTAAGGGTGCCTGGGTGGCTCAGCAGGTTGAGCATCTGCCTTCAGCTCAGGTCTTGATCCCAGGGCCTGATCGAGTCCCGCACGGGGCTCTGTGCTCAGTGGGGAGCCTGCTTCTCCCGCTTCACCAGACTCGTTGCTATCTCTGTCACTATCTCTGTGTCTCTCAAATAAATAAGTAAAATCCAAAAAATTAAAAAAAAATAAAATGAGCTGGATATGCTAGGAACAGAAAGAAAGATATTGTACCTCTAACAGTGGGGCAGAGAAAGATGATGTGTAGGCAAGAATAAGATAAAGCCTTTACAGCCAGAGTAAAGATTTAAAATTTGATTTTAAGCATAGTGGGAGTCTGTCTTAATCTATTTAAGCTGCTATAGCAAACAAAACAAAACAAAACACTACTGTAAACTGGGCAGCTTACAAAAAAAAAAAAAAGTAACTTTTTACTTCTCACAGTTTTGAATGCGCTAACTGATTTGACGTCCAGTGAGAGCCTCTTCCTTCCTGATAGCCTTTGTCTCAGTTAACAAGGCAAAGGGAGCTATGGAGCTCTCTGGAGTCTCTTTCATAAAGTGCACTAATAAAGTTCCCCTTAGGCCCCAACTCCTAATACTGTCACATTAGCGGCTAGGCTTTCAACATATGAATTTTGGGGAGACGTAAACATTCAGATGATTCAGCAGACATGATCTGATCTACATTTTTTATTTTGCATTGCCATGTGTAACTGTGGGTGTGGAGAGACCAACAAGAGGGCTGCAGTAAAAGGAAATGGTGATAGTAGCTTGGATTACCGTAATGCGGAAGATAAGAAAAAGGACGAATCAGGATACGTTTCGGAGGTGGAATAGATGGAAATTGTCAGCGTGCGTGGGGAAAGGACAGGGTGATTCCTAGGTTTTTGACTTGAATAATCAGTGGGACAGTAGTTCTGTTTTCCGAGACACGGAAATTAGGGTAGATGGGAATGGGTTGGGGGTGGGAGGAAAGGAATCTGCCTATACTGTCCCTCTCTCTGGACTGGGTTTCCGTCCTTCTTCACCTAGTTAACCCCTCCCCAATCTTTGGATCTCAGTTCCAATGTCACTTTCTCAATGAAGTACTTTCCCAACTAGCTCAAACACGCTATTAAGTATATGCTATCTTGGCACCATGCACTTCTCCTTACCACCTGTGTTGTACTGCAAAAGTGGTCACTGACATGTTGCCTTTATTGCCCTCCCTGATGGCCTTCTCACCCCTATTCACCCCTAGATTTGTGAGTGAAACCATCCTTGCTCATCCAGCCACCGGCTGACCCACAGATGACCAGAAAGATATAAAAGAGCCCACTTGAGCCAACCAAAATACAAGAACCACCCAGCCCACTCACAGAATGTTGAGTTGGCTAAAGGACTGCTGTAAGCCACTAGGTTTTGCCATGGTTTGTTACATAGCAAAAGTAGGTACAGGAGCACATACCTCAATTGTAATTTTACATCTATGTGTTTGGTTAGTGTCTGTCCCTCTGAGGAGATCGTGAGCTCTAAAAGAGCAAACACTGCTTTGATTTGAGTTTACCACTCCACAATCAGAGCCCAGCATAGTATCTGGAATACAACGGGCATTCAGCAGGCACCTTGCTGAACGAATGCAAGGGCGAGAAGAGAGGAATACATTGTAACATAAGAGAATAAGGGGAGTTTCCTGAGAGGTAACAAAGGACTGGAGACATCCATTTGTCCAAAGCAAAACTTTTTATCAGCAAAAGGCACTGGGGAATGTAAGAACAAAATTACATTTCCTCTGCTTCCAAGAGCTCTGTCTAGACTAGGGGAGGCAGTACAAAATCAAGAAAATATACTACCAAGGAAGAGGCCCCTAACCCCGTCAGGAAGACAGAAATGTCACGGTTGTCAGGAGAGGGTTCTTGAGAGACAGAAAGTTCGAATGCAGTACTAACAGTATTTTCTTGGAAGAGCAGCCCAAGGGAAGGCCAAAAGAGCCCAAAGAACACGGGTGTTCAAAGGCAAAAGAAAGTCTCCAGCTCGTTATACATCTCAGGACGTGTTGTTCAACAATTTAAGCGGCTGCCACCTCACTGAACTCTAAGGTCCTTCAGAATGAGGGTCATTTCTTCTCATCTATTAGTCCAGTGTCTAACGCGATCTTTTCCAGAAAACAGGAACTCAACAGATATTTGCTGAAAAAAAGAAAAGTTAAAGATGAGACGTAAGCATTGCTCCTACCAAAGGCAGCTTTCTAAAGAGCCCACATTTTCAGATTCAACACAGGGAAGCGGACACACAGAGCAGATGTTCTCAGGCTAAATGGCGCAGAAGCAGTAACTGGGCCCCATTGGCCTTTAGTTTTACGTCTCCGTCCTAGTTACTGGTTATTGGCTTTTTCCCTCCGTGGCTCACAATCCAGGCTGGAAGGACTGACCCGAGGCGGTGTCTGGTAAGCGCTGCTCTCCGCCGGGATGAAAGGCCCGGCAGCGCACCGGCCTCCGCGGCGCGCCAGCCACAGGCGGCGGGAGGGAGCGCGCCAGGCGATCGCGCCGGAGGGTCTCGGGGTGGGCGCCGCGGCCCCCGGCCCTGCCTCGCCGCGCTCCCGCCGACTGGGGCCCTGAGCGCGGGGACGCGCCGCGTTGCCGTGGAAACGCCGGGGCCGGAGCGGCGGCGCGCGGGGCGGGCTCTTAGACTCCGGGAGGTGGCGGCTCGCGCCCCGGCGCACGCTCGGGCGCCTCCTAGCCCAGGTCGTTGGGCCCAGCCCGGTTCCCCGGCGGTGCGCAAGCCAAGATGCTGAGGCGCAGCTTGGAAAACCGGTAACAGTCCCGGGGCCTCCGCTGGCCAGGGCCCCCCACATGCGAGGGCTCGGGTGGGGGAAGTGGCGCCTCTCTCCCGGGGGCCTCCGCGCCGAATTCCGACCCCCGGCCGGGGTGTGGACCGAGACCTTTGCGCTCTGGGGCCTACCTCCCCGGGCTGCAGCGAGCCCCGCAGGCCAAGGGTGGGGTGGGCGATCTGGGCGTCACGCTCCCCGGGCCCCGCACTGCCGCGGGCTGTGCAGACGGCTGGGGGGCAGCCGGGCGCCCAGGCCTCGCGGAGCAGCGGGAGCCGCCGCCACCCTGGCGCGGCTGGCAAGAGCCCGGCCTTTTCGTGCGCCTCTACTGTCCGGATATTAAAGCCAGGCCCCGAAGGGAGACCTAGAGGACCAGAATCCAATCCCCAGAGATGGTTTGTGCCTTCGAAGCTGAAAAATGCCCCGGGAATGTTTGCATATCAAATTAACGGAGATGAAGCCATCTCATCTCGAATGAGAATGATTGGCGGTTTGTGTCCTCTTTTCCCTAGGGACGCTCAAACCAGACAGCTGCAAGATGCTGTCACAAACGTGGAGAAGCATTTCGGAGAGCTGTGCCAAATCTTTGCTGCTTATGTAAGGAAAACTGCCAGACTGCGAGACAAAGCAGACCTATTGGTGAATGAAATAAACGTGTATGCCTCTACAGAGACCCCAAATTTAAAGCAGGGCCTGAAAAACTTTGCCGATGAGTTTGCCAAACTTCAGGATTATCGACAAGCAGAGGTATGGAGGTCTCAGCGTCATTGTTATGCATGAGCCCTGAAGTAGTGGATGAAGGACCCGTGAAGACTTTCACTTGTAATCCACCTAACTGCAGTAGCGAACGCACCCTTGATGACAAACGTACATTTTCATGTAACGTTGTGTGAGTCTATTAAAGGGAAGATTCCAGTGATTTGTGATTTTACCGTTTTCAAACTAAACTTCAGGGTATCCTGAAGTCCTCAATTTCTCCACTTCATTTGCCAGCTTTTGGCGAAGGGGTGGCTATTAACAGGGGGTAGTAAACTTAGTATCCATGGGGAAGAAAAGGATCATGACTTGTGTCTTGTATGCACGTAAGTATATTTTCAGGTATGTCTGGAGATGGTTGAGTGGTAATGTGAGTGGATAAGTAATAAATGGACAAGAGATCTTTGTTGCTTCAGTGCTCTGGAAAGTTGACCAATATTGTATTGACAAAAAGAAAAGCAGCACTGATGTACTGATTTATATTGCAGATACTAGTGAGACTTTATGGGGTGCTTTTGTTTTGTTTTTGCTATGGAAAGGAGGGAAGAAGGTGGTGTTGTAATTGTTTTCTTTCTAAAACCTTATTTTTTTTAATACCTCAGAAACACCTTCACTTATATTTATTTTAGGTTTCAAGATACAGATTAAATGTTAGAAATTTCCCAGTTAGAAGCTGCATTAACTTCTCTGGTGCTCCTCTCATGAGTGCTTTTGGTACTTTTAAAAAGCCGAATACAGAAATTTCAGGCATCAAAAAAACTCACAAAGTGGAGATAATGATCTTTGAACCTATACTTGCTATTCATACAGAAATTTGAGTAGTTATTACATTTGGAGGTACTTTTTGAGAAAAGTTGAGTTCTTGTCATATGATATTCTGTAATAAACTCAGTTACACATTAACTGGAGACTTCAAAAATAATTTATTCTCACTGATAACCCTAAAATCCCATGTTAAGACAATAATTTCAATGCCCCCTTTTAGAAAACCTTTATGCTATTTATCAAATAGCAAAATGAATTGATTTACATTTGTTCTCCTTTTTTATTTCCCTTGCTTACCAAATGGTGGAGGTGCTAATGAACAATGAACAAAAGGTAGGCGACAAAAAGGAGAACAGAAAAAAAGACTTGAATAATCCTTGCACTGAATAATCGGTGTATGGATTATTTGAAATGGTATAGGCTAAACTATCCTGAGTATTCATGGTTTTGATTTTAGGATTCCTAATATTTATAAATGCTCAATGAGAACTTGATTTTTTTCATTTTCCTAATATCTTTTAAAGCGAAACAATCATACACATCTTGTTTATAGAAAAAATCAGTATGAAATAAAATGTACTATATAAACATGTATCATCCAAAAAAAAGCCTTCTTCCTGCTGCAAAAATAATACATGTTCATTTTAAACAATTAAATAATGTCATTCTGTATTACTTGTCCTGATGAAGAAAATATTAATGTCCAAGAGTTATTTTTCTTTTGTTATATTTGCCTTTAAAAAACCCATTTCTTCATTGCCTTCCACTAGTGCTGTTAATTAAAGGAAATAATTACTCAAAATGTGATAAAAATTGTAATGTTTAAGAAAAACAGTTTAATTCTAAATAAAAAGATCAACCATGCAGTTTGACAGCTCAGCAACACTGAGACCATTTATCTTTTTCTCCAAGCTTTGGTCATATACAATGGCTTCCCAGAAAACAATTGCAGCTAATACAATTCTTTTTTGTTTTTGAGGATTGTGTTGCTTAAAATTTTTCCAATATGCTGTATCTTTCAGCTTCAATTTTCTTATCTGGCAAGTTGGACTATTACATTTCAGGGATAATTTATGTAAAATATCCGACACCGTCCTAAATACACTGCAAGTGGTAGCTGTACTAAAATTTGAGATGTCTTGAAACTTACACAAAAGCTACTATAATGAAGAAAAATAATACAGAGATGATCGTATGGCAGAGATAAATTTCTTAGAAACCTGAGATTGTTTTCTTTCCATATTCCATACTAGGTACTTTTCTGCTTGCTTTTTTTTTTTTTTTAAACTTTTCCGCTTTCATTGTTACTCTACATCTTAACAGCTTTTATTGTGTTTGACTTTAGATTCTGAGTTTTATTAATTTCTGGTAATTACTCTTTTATTTATTAACTGTGATATTTTAAACATTTTAAAACATTACTCTATGTAGTAATTAATTATGTTTAGGTTAAATAGCCCAGGTTTTAAATTTAAATTTTGATATGTCTATGTTTCTTTACAGTTACATTTTATAATAATTTTCAATAGGTTGAAAGACTTGAAGCCAAAGTAGTTGAACCTTTGAAAGCTTATGGAACCATTGTAAAAATGAAACGAGTAAGTAAATTCATTTTTCCTGCTATTATTAACTATTATGGCAAAGAATGTGAGGTTTCTAATCTGTCCTCTTGATAAAAAGTACAGCGTTGTTACCCAGTTTTTTTTACACACTCTGTGATGCATCATTTCTTAGAACTTTGAGAATAATGGGGGCACCTGGGTGGCTCAGTTGGTTAAGCTTCTGCCTTCAGCTCAGGTAATGATCCCAGGGTCCTGGGATCAAGCCACGTGTCCCCGTAGCATCGGGCTCCCTGCTCAGCGGAGAGCCCACTTCTCCCTCTCCCTCTGTTGCTCCCTCTGCTCATGCTCTCTCTAGCTCAAATAAATAAATAAAAAATCTTTAAAAAAATCTTGAGAAAAATGAAATATTTTTAGTGAGCTTACTAAGTAAACCGTAGCAACATGAAGCAATACTTTATTACAGAAACTTTAAACTATTAATATTTATAATCATGAAGAACTTATTTTACTAAATGAATAGGTTTATATTTTCCTTTTTAAAGCAGGCAATAACATGTATACTAAAATTGAGTGTGACAAAGTTCTGTGATTTTTTTTGAGGTATAACTGACATATTAGTTTTAAGTGTACAATACAATGATTCAATAGCTGTATATATTGTGCAGTGACCACCACAAGTCTAGTTAACATCCATCACCATACATAGTTAGAAATTTTATTTTCCTTTGATGAGGACTTCTAAGATGTAATCATAACAACTTTCAAATATGCAATCCAGTGTTAGTGACTATAGTCACCATATTGTATGTTACAACCCCAGATTCTATTTTTTCAACCAACTTGGATGTATAATTTACAGGCAATAAAATTCTCCTGTTTTAAGTGTTCACTGAGTTTTGACAAATGTGTATACACATATAACTACCACCACAATCAAAATTTTCTGTATATATATATGTATATATATACATACATATATGCGTGTGTGTATATATGGTTAGAGGTTTGCATTGAAATTATCTTGTCTGTGTCATTATTTGAGAGGGTATTAAAGAAACACACATGTGCACACACTCACACAAAGACACACACTAATTTTGCAGTAGTAATAATGCCTGGACCAAACAGTGTTCTCCCATTCTTAAAACAGAGTATGTACATTTTATTTCTTAAATCAGAGGTTTTCATTAATCAAAATGCTTATTTTCAGGATGACCTCAAAGCAACATTAACAGCAAGGAATCGAGAAGCTAAACAGTTAACTCAGTTAGAAAGAACACGTCAGCGAAACCCATCTGATCGACATGTCATTGTATCCTTTGACTTTTGATCTTTAAAAATGTGCTTTGTAAGGTATGCCGTACAAAAGTAAATATATATGGAAATTATGCCTTTCTACTTTTAAATGTGCAGAAAATTTGAATGTAACAGTTGAAAAACACATGCATTTACAAATTCTCATTATATAAAAATCAACTAATTTTAAAGAGAATACACCACCTAATTCAATTCCCTCATACTATTTTCCATAATAGATATTTAAAAAAATAAAACAGTTAAAACCATTGATGGTTTGTATAAAAAGTAAGTTCAAAATTCTGGGGTTTTTTTTCCACATAGCTGAATATTAATTATAAAATTAACTTAAAGATCTGTCGTGAATCCTAATATATCAATGCCCTGTCTGCTCCACTTTTGAGAAAAAAGAGTCATTTTGCCGCAGTATAATTCCCTTCACCTTTAAAAACAACAACAATGTGAAACCGCAATTAACGACTAGCAGCCGAAGACCCTTAGGAGATTCTAGAGTAAAATTGAGGTTCATAGCTGGACACAAAAGGATCTAGATAGGACTGTCTACTGTAACAAGGCTCTTCTGTTAAGAATGACTGTTACTTAAGCTAGAACGTACCCTGTTCATGATTAAAGAAAAGAATAGAAAATAGTCCCTGGCTAATTGCCAGCAATTGGGGTAAGTGCAATTGTATAGAAAGTACTTGTTTATCTGCTGCCTCTCTTTCCCATTCCTTCTTACATCTCCTTCCTACTTCCTGGAGGTTTTTACTGCCCAGCTCAGCCAGAAACCACATGAGGAGTGGCTCTGTGGGGGCATTTGAGGTTCCAGAACACCTCTGTTCCTGAGGGGAATCCCTTGAGCAGTGATTTTGGGCTGCACCAATTGCCTGGTCCTTCTTCCTTTGGACTAAAGGTACATATGCCCAACCTTGCAACAAACAAAAATGGGCAGCCATAGGTTTGGGAGTGCCCAGTGGAGGTTGGGGCAGGAACATCTCATTGAGGCTTAAGATCTACAACTAGATTATGGAGTCTGGGTTTTAAGCAAGTCAGGCAAACCAGAGAATGCTGGAAAATTTACGACTGACAACTAGGGACTAAGGGAGAGACCAGGTTGTCACCAGTTTTTAAGAAATCGGAGGTCAAAATTTTATTGTTTTGTTTGGAGGGAAATACATAAAGGCAGGAAAAAGGTCACATCTGGTATCCTGAGCAGGTTGGTAGGATTGAATCAGGGGTACTGGTCTGGAGACTCAACAGAGAAATGAATATCACTAAGACAAAAATGTTTCTGACTTAGATGGTCTGTTGTGAACACTGCCATGGAGGAGTCTTATACTATAGATGAAACTAGATTTGGGATCATGTGGGGGAAAATAAATACAACAAAGGAACAGATTATTGCTGTAGGAGAACTGCTGTGCTCACTGGGGAAACGAGGGGATTTTGACAACCTAAGACTAGAAAATAAAGGACAGTCTAGATATAAACATACTCAATGTAAATATAAAAATGGTCAGTCATTGCATTACAGAATATTTACCAGGATGGACCCCTAAAATTCATCGGACAATTCAAAAGAAGCATGTTAAAGTTCAGTATGTAAAATAACATGGAGTAGCACTGATAGAAGAAGATGGGGTAAAGAAGAATCCCAGGGCTCTGGCTCACCGTTTCAGAAGCCCTTTTGCATTCAGGACTAATTTCATTAAATACACTGACACCTCTACTCATAGAGTTGTAGCATAGTATCTTAATCAAAAGCATTTCCTACTCAACTTGATCCATTATAGGATTATAGGATTTTGAAGAATTTTCAGAAAAAAGAAGAAATAGAAACCCATATCTTTGCTAAAAATAGCTGTGTAATTTTGGGTGAGTTGCTATCCCAATGTAAAAGGATTTGAGACTTTCAGAAATGAAAAGTAGTTGCTGGAAGGTCGTGGAAGATTAAGATGGCCCAACTATAGCTTCTGCTTCCCCACTCTCCCCTGGTTTAGCTAATTCTACCTACCCGTCTAAATTTTAAAACTTTTTTTTTAAATGTGAAACTTCTGATAAAATGGGGAGGGCAAAGACATAAGTCTAAAGGAAGTAGTGACAAGTAAAGAACTGTATGCGTCACATGTACTGTTAGTAAGAAATTAGTCTGCTAGAATATTCTCATTAGTAAGTTAATGTGTATCAAATAACTTAGAAATTTTTCATACAAATCTATAAAGGAGCTCTATTTTACTTTAGAATTTGCTGTGATAAAGTTACATTTTTAAAAACCTCAAGCCCAGTAATAATAGAAAATTCTTATTATATTTTTTAAAGATTTTATTTATTTGACAGAGAGAGACACAGCAAGAGAGAGAGCACAACCAGGGGGAGTGGGAGAGGGAGAAGGCAGGCTCCCCACGGAACAGGAAGCCCGATAGAGGACTCGATCCAATGACCCTAGGATCATGACATGAGCCGAAGGCAGACGTTTAATGACTGAGCCACCCAGGCACCCCTAAAAGATTATTTTTGATTACTGGGTGTGATTAAAAGTTAAAAGTTTATATGATTTTAAAAAACTTTACACCCTATATGGCAAATGTACACATACAAACATGTATTAAAGTATTTTTTACACCTAGTATCTTAAAGTCGTACATTTGAGTTAATCTAAATGTAAGAATAATCACCATGAAGCTATAATTAATGTATAATCTAATTGCAAGATTATATAATTCTGTGAGCATATGATTTTATTTTAAAAAATTGTTCTCCTTGAAATTTATATTTTCCTTTATGAAAAATTTCAGTCACAGGTGGGTAATAAAGTGGTGTGTCAAGAAATGGATCCTTATAGTAAATTCTTTTATTTATTTCAATTTATATCTTTTCTTGAAAGCAAGGGCTAGATGTTAGAATTATATAGGTCACTACACTTTGATGAGAAATGCATATTTTCTCCATGGATTAGTTATTAAATGATGATATTTGATACTTTTGAGTAAATATACTACATTAGTATAGGAAACAAAACTATTAGAATTTAATCAGAAAATTAGGCTATGTTTTTTAAAACCTCTACTGTTTAACAAAATATTTTTGGGCAACAACTATTTTAAAGTAAGAGATAATTTTTAGGAGAAATACATGAGTAGATTGGAAGTGTTCTGCCCTTTACTATAGCCACTAGCAACATATGGCTATTGAGCTCTTGAAATGCAATTAGGATAAATGAGGACAGTTTTTAAATTTTCATTTAATCTTGATGTAAACAGCCACATGTGGCTACTGGCCACCATATTGATTATACAACACCGATCTAGGTAGTATGAGTGCTTGTGGTTACAATATATGAAGCAAAGCATTAGACTTGCCATCTAATTTGTTGCCGGTTTGTCTATTTTTTGTACTAAGCACTAACTCAATGGTAATAGTGTAATACGGTGAGCTTCTAAGAATATAAAATATATCCTGTGCTGAAATAAATATTTGTAGTATATATTCTACTATATCTGATTAGGATATTACAAGATTAGAAACGTAATGCATTTGGAGAACTAGAAAATTGAAAATAGTTAAGTCACAGGTCCTTTTTTGGAGAGAAGGGATTAAAGGGGAAAGAATGAGAAGAAAGAGAACAAATGATAAATGGCATAGAAAGTGAAATAGGTGAAAACAGTAGAAAATTGTTTTACAGTAAATAATCCAAAGGTGGTACAGGAGAAAAAAATGGTTTTGTAGGAAGAAAGGGGAGTTTTATTTTCTTTGGTTTAAAGTCAGGAATCATGTCACTTAACAGATTTAAAGATTTCTTTATTCTGCACATGCTTATTACATAGATCATCTTATTTTATATGGTGAAATGTATTATTGAACAGTTTATGGTTGTTGTGCCGAGAAGCCAGTAGTGCAATGATAACATTTACAAATAGATTCAGTTGAATGGATTCTAACTTGCATTTTTTTATATCTTTGGCTGGGGAATTCTTTTGCAGGCAGAAACTGAATTGCAGAGAGCTACAATGGATGCTACCCGAACAACTCGTCATCTGGAGGAAACTATTGACAATTTTGAAAAGCAGAAAATAAAGGATATAAAGGTAAACAAAGTCACTGTTAAAGTTCAAAACATGTTTTCTAACCTTTTTTTTTGTTTTATTTAAATGTATGAAAAATTGAAACTACTGATTTTTTTAGCCCATAGTCTATATGAAAAAGATACTATAAATAAAAAATACCAAATGTTATTTTCCCATTTCCTTAGATATTCAGCTTATTACCACAAGTATTATTTAATCAAAGGAAACTAACATTTATTATATTTTTGTACATCCAGTGCTGTTATAGGTACTATATATGTATTATCTTTTAATCTTTATAGCAACGTCATAAGAATTAGGTACTGTTATCCATATCTTATGTGAAGTCTAAGCAGAAATATAATTTACCCAAAGTATCATGGCCAAAAATCTGAACTAAAAACCAATAATGTATTTTAAACATCTGTGCTTTCCATTAGAACACACTCTCATTAAGTGATCTCTAGTAACTACATGTTACCAAGTAAATGAACAGGTAAGAGTAGCCAGTCACATAAAGTTGCATCTGCCAGGCTGCATCCACCATGATATGGTATCACAAGAATTGCCTTATTTTATTGTAAAAAGCCAGTAGATTTGACACCTTTGGGATCATGGACTTCAGAAGGTCTTCAGTGACTTCGTCATAGGCTCCTGGACAGATTGAAGGATTGCTTGTGACCAAATTAAATTAAGTCCTTTAAAGCAAGTCATCTAGGATGTGTTTTGGCTCACTGCAGATTTTCCAGGATCAAGCTTTAAAGAAAAGTATTGTGTCATTTTATAACTATTAACAAAGAACACATCCTTCAAAAGTTATGTTCTCATCAATAAAATAAGCATCTGCCACTTAATAATCATTCCTTTTTACAGTCCGTGAGTCAACATTCATTTGCACTCCTTCTCCCCCCATCATAGTTTCAAACAATTTCAGAACTTTGGTATTTCTGATAGCCATGCTCAGAGGTCTCTGGTTTGGTCCTGAAGACCCAAACCCTCTTTCCTAAAGCCTCTCGATTCACTTGGTACTCTGCTGTACACTGCATGAAGAGCATCTCAGAAAGCTGCCCTGCGACAGACTCCCATTTACTGAGGTGGGAGAGTGTGGGCAAGCTAGGATGTTTTATACTTGCTGACATCATATCTTAACTTGAAGGAGAAAGGAAAGAAGGTTATTAAAATAATTAGCTTTAACCTGAACGATGAGAATGGAGACCTGTGAGGTATGCTTGATTCCACTGCCACCCAAGGGCTTTGTTAGTGATGGCGATCTGATTCCCCACTCCTACCGCCCCGCATGCCTGCAAGACTGTCTTTCACACGTGGCAGTCTGTGTCTCTGATCTTTGGGCTCACATCAGGCTCAGACTACCTCTTCAGATGTTTTTAATTCCCTGTGCAATCACCGGTTACAAAATGGGCAGAGAGAAAGTGAGTGCAGAATTCCCAACTGTAGTTCTACTACCTGGGATTGGCTGAAGCATGAGGACATAGAGGGACTGCACAGTGGAGGATGCACAAAGAAGAAAAGGGCTTTCAAGCTTTCCAGGTTGCCCTGAAAGGAAGTCTCTTAGTGGTCACCAAAAGTATAAGACAAGAAGAAACCTACTTTTTACTAAATTGAGATAGAATTCATACACCATACGGTTCACCCATTTAAAATGTACAACTCAGTGGTTTTAGTGTGTTCCAGTATGTGCAGCCATTACCACTCAATTTTAGAACACTGTTACCATCTCAAAGTAGGACCTAGTACTTTGCTGCTTCCCACACCCCAACCCTCCCACCACCACCCCAGCCCTAAGCAACTACCACTAATCTGAAGTCTATATGGATTCAGCTACTCTGGCCATTTTATGTGAACGGAATCATAACATGGTTTTTGTAACTGGCTTCTTTGACTTAGCATAATCTTTTATTATTAGCTATATATATGTTTGTATGTGTTGTATGTATATTAGCTATATATATGCTTTCATATCATAGTATTTATCCTAGTGTCATGCATTCCTTTTCATGGCCAAATATTTCATTATATGGCTATAAGACAAGAAGTTTTTGTTTGGATATATATTTTCATTTTTCTTACTCATATATCTAAATTGCTGGATTCTATGGTAACCCTATCTTTAATCATTTGAGAAACTTCTTGCACCATGTACATTCCAACAGGTGGTATATGAGGGTTCAGATTCTTCTGCATCCTCACCAGTACTTGCTGTTCATTAGTTTCATTACAGCCATCCTAGTGGGTGTGAAATGGTATCTCATTGTGGTTTTGAGTTGCATTTTGCTGCTAATGCTTATTGGCCACTGTATGTCTTCCTTGAAGAAATGTCCATTGAGATCCTTTGCCCATATTTTGATCGGGTTCTTTTTGAGTGGTAGTTGTTCTTTTTCTATTCTGGATACAAGTCCCTTTTCAGATCTATGATTGGAAATTATTTTCTCCTATTCTTAGGGTTCTTTTCAGTATCTTAATGGTATTCCTTGAAGCAGAAAATTTGTAATTTTGATGAAATCCAATATATGTTTCTTTTGTTGCTAATGTTTTCAGTGTCATATAGAACAGTCCACTGCCAAATCTTGAGATCTTGAAGATTTATCCCTATTTTCTTCTAATAGTTGTATAGTTTTCATGGTTCGGTTAAGCCTTTAATCCATCTGAGTTAATTTTTATGTATGGTGTGAACTGAAGTTTAAACTTCATCTTTTTGCATGTGACTGTCCATTTGCCCGAGCACCATTTGCTGAAGAAGCTATTCTTTCCCATTGAATAGTCTTGGAACTCTTTTTGAAGACCGGTTGACATGGTTTTGTTTCTGGTTTGTCTTTCATTGATCTATAGATTTCTCTTTATGCTAGTACCACACTTCATTCATTAGCATTGCTTTATATGAATTTTAAAATCAGAATGTATGAGTTTTCCTTTGTTCTTTTTTAAGGTTGTTTTGCTATTCTGGATTTGTTGTAATTCTGTATGAATTTTACAATCAGCTTGTCAGTTTCTATAAAGAAGTCAGGTGGGATGCTGCTACAGATTGCATCAACTCTGTAAGTCAGTTTGGGGAGTATTGCCATCTTAAAATTTTTCCAATCCATGAACATGGAATATTTTTCCATTTATTTAAATAGTCCTTAATGTATTTTCAACCATGTTTGTAGTTTTCAGAGTATAAGTTTTGTGCTTCTTTTCTTAAACTTTTTCTTAAGTATTTTAGAATTCTCGATGCTATTGTAAATGGATGTTTATTTAATTTCATTTCTGGAATGTTCATTGCAAATGTACCCAGAAATAATTTAATTTTGCACACTGATCTTACATCCTGCAACCTTCCAGAACTCATTTATGAGCACTGATAATTTTTTAGTGGATTCCTTAGGATTTTTTACATACAAGATGTCATCTGTCACAACCTACACTTTAAATGCAGACTCCCGTGATCTAGCAGACTTCCAGAAATGGTTTCCAGAAGTCAACATTAAACTCTGTTACGGTTCTAAATCTCCATTTTATACATCTTTGCTCCTTAGTATCAAATTGTTTCTTTTCCAAGTCAGGCCTCATTTGAGATCTTTTATGATGAAGAGGGATGCACAAATCCCATACCAGAAGCTTCAAAGACAAGTCAAAAAGAGTTAGATTGCTGCCTGCCTTTGTTGATGTTAGTATGTGTCACATTGCAATTTACAAGAAAAATTCTTAGAAAAGTAAAAATAATGGATGCCACTCATAATTTTGAGAGAAACATAGAACATTCTTATTCTTACCTGTAATCAGGCTACTGCTTCAGATGGGAACAGACCTTCTGGCTCCTTCCTTAACCTCTCTGGGGGGTAGAAATGAGTGAGCACTGTGTGTTCAGGGTGGGTTTAATTTATAAGTCCATCTGAATTTTGGTAGCATTAATCAGCAAGGTAGCACAATTTTTAGATACTTTTCATAGGAACCTTGCAAAATATTTGTCTTTCTGAGAAAAGTTATGGAACTTACTGTACACAATGTGAATGAAAAATCACAGTCCCTGGGGTGCCTGAGTGGCTTCCTCGGTTAAGCGGTTAAAAATCCTGACTCTTGATTTTGGCTCAGATCATGATCCCAGGGTCATGAGATGGAGCCTCACAGCGGCTCCATGCTGGGCATACAGCCTCCTTAAAATTCTCTCTCCCTCTCTGCCCCTCCCTCTGCTCATTCCTCCTCCTGTCTTTCAAGGAAAAAAAAAATCACAATCCTCTTTGTTTCCCATGTAATTGGAAAATGAATCTCAAGGGAATTTCAGACCTATAGAAACGATCTTGACCAGGGTTCACTCCTGCAACAGAGAGGGACAGGAATGCAGTATATGGCAAAGTAGCTGACATGAGCAAGAAACATCTAAATTTAATTTTTAAAAGCTTTATTTTTCTTACAACTAAATATAAAGTCACCATAAATTTTTCATAAAGTATTGAGAAAAATGCAATAATCCTACCAATCAGAAATAATCAGTTAGCATTCTTGGTTATAGCATTCCAACTTTTTTTTTTTCTATGCATATATACACAAGAGATAATAACAACCAATTTTCTTAGGTATTGACTATGTCACATATTCTACACATTTTATGTGGATAAACATTTATTCCTCAAACATCCTTTTAAAATTTAATATATATCATGGACATATTTGCTAAGAAACAGATGCATATCATCCTTTTTGGTATCCTCATAGTATTTTGTTATGGATATATTATTGTATCTAACCATTCCTTATTGGTGGACATCTAGGTTACTTTTGCAATTATAAATCTCATTGTATCATTAAACATTGGCCTTTTTTTGATCCAGATATTCTCTTCAGATAAATTATCAGAGTGACACTTCTGACTCAAAGAGCATACATCTTTTAAATTTTGATACTGTCTGTCCACAAAGCTTTAAATTTCTGTCCACAAAATTTTAACTAGCATTTCTATAAAACCTTGCATGAGCAGCTCAGTATACCAATGAAATGTAGCAGTATTTTTAATAACAACTAATCTGACAGGTGAAAGAATCAGTGTCATCTTAATCTGTAGTTACTACTATTAAGACAAAATTATTTTCATATATTTAATGACACATTTATTTCTTCTTTAGTAAATTACCCACACTTGCCCTTAGCCTGTATTTTTTATTAAATATTGGTAGTTTTCTTATGAATTTATAAAAAGTCTTTATATTGAGAAAATTAACTCTTAAAGAGAAGCTATGTTGCAAAAGTATTTTCTCATTTTGTTGTTTTATGATGTGTTTTTGCCTTAAAGTTTCATTTTTGTAGCCAGATCTGTTGGTCTTCTCGTTTTTGATTTCTTGACTTCTTGACTTGATTTCATGACTTAGTGTCATGCTTACAAAGGTTGTTTTTATCCTTAAGATTATATAAATACTTGCTTATATTTTCTTCAAGTATTTGTGATATCTAATAATTTTTAAATATTTAAGCATTTTATTTGGTAGTTGTGTTTTGCATATGGTTATGAGGTAGATATCTAATTTCATTCTTTTCAAGTAGATAAAACTTACTCTTGACATCATTTATTGAATAGCCTCTAATCTGGAGAATCATTATTTCCCCTTTATTTGCCAAAATGTTAGTAAGACCTTTTATGAGTTTTTTGCTAAAAGTCTTGCTTGCTAATTAAATCAGTTGGAGGCTTTAATATTAGGAAAAAGAACATTTTCTAACTTAGCAAGTGTACTTCTTGAGTAATAAAAATAGCTAACTTGCTTTGAGCACCCAGTTACCGTACTGTATTAGGTTATCTCATTTAATCTTTAACCCCAAAATCTATGAGGTTGGTACTGTTGTTCTCCCCATTGTACAGATGAAAAAAACTAGAGAAAAGAATAGATAAAGTGCTTAATATTATATAGCCGTTATGTTTGTATGATTGGAACCCCGATTTATCTTAATGCAGAGCCCATATTCTTTACTACTATACTCTCCTGTTTTATAGAATACTTGTCAACAGGTAAGAATTTCACATTAGCTCTCTCATCCCCCACCAATGAAAATTGAGTATGTGCCCAAATTGCCTTCAAGTTACACAAAACAAAATTGAAGGGACGCCTGGGTGGCTCAGTCGCTTAAGCGGCTGCCTTCGACTCTGGTCATGATCCCGGGGTCCTGGGATGGAGTCCCACGTCGGGCTCCTTGCTCAACACAAGCCTGCTTCTCCCTCTGCCTCTGCCTGCTTGTACTCTCTCTCTGACAAATAAATAAAATCTAAAAAATAAGTAAATAAAATAAAATTGAAAAGGGGAAAAAAATCATTAATGCTTCTGTCCCTGATCATACTGTCCCATTCCAGGTAAGATTACATGAGATCACTGAAAGTTAGCTATATTTATTTGAGGAAAATTATTTCTAAATATAATTGGTTCTTAGAAAGTTCCACCACCCTTCTGGTCATTCACTGAAAATATTTTATTTCAAAAACATGCTTTTTATATTCTTACATTAGTTTTCATCTAACTTTTACTGTTCCTTGCTGTTATTCTCCTTCTGCCTATTTTCAGATATTTCGTTAAATTCTAACTAGAAAGAGTATGATTGGCAGTACTGTCTTCTGACTATACTTGAGGATTTAACTCTCCTCTGTGATAATCTTTAGGCTTCATGACTCTTCAGTCAAAAATTCCAAGTCTGGGATACCAGATTAACAGTATTATTGATTTCCCATTACTGTTTCTGACAAAAATAAACAGTATAAACAATCAGTAGGGCCATTCTCCTCTTACTTAGGTGTTATAATACAGGTTTTGTCAAATAAAAGTTTGGGTGCCTGGGTGACTCCGTCGTTAAGCGTCTGCCTTTGGCTAAGATCACGATCCCAGGGTCCTGGTATCGAGGCCCACATCAGGCTCCCTGCTCAGCAGGAAGCCTACTTACCCCTCTCCCACTCCCCCTGCTTGTGTTCCCTCTCTCACTGTATCTCTGTAATAAATACATAAATAAATAAATCTTAAAAAACAAAAAGAAAAGTTCAAACCATAGAGGATTAAACCAAAAGATCACAAAACTGGAGAATGATTCCTCCCACCTTCCACATAGTAAATAATACCCATTTATAAAGATAATTTGTAAAGTAATTATTGTTAATTGAAACTAAATTTTGAGATTGGAAAATGGTAACAGACTAAAAGTTGATCAGTGTCTTAAAATGAGAATGTAGTAGTTTCTCTTATCAGGGATAATGAATAAAGAAAAATAATGTATTGCCAGACATACCTACATATTTTTCAGGGCTTATGAACTAAGGGGACTATAAATCCTATAAAATGCAGTATTAAATAATTGTTAGTTCAGAGATGATACATTCAGAGATTCTGACCATCAGGAATTTAATAACTATGTTCATATATTTGAAAAATATTTTAAAATGTTGGCGTATTCTACAAAGTTACCACAGTGGAACAGATTTGAATTAGACCTAAATCTACAGATTTAGGTATAATAAGGTTGTAAATGTTTGGATTTCATTAGTTACTAAACAGTGTGTCTATTAAAGATTTAGAATATACATCTGTGAAAATATTTAAAAATAGGAGTAACACCTCACTTGATTAAGCTTTAATCCCTTATTTGAGGCTATTTTATTTCTCAGATACTTTTATAGCATAAGATAAATACCTTCTCTTATCTCTCCACATAAGTAAACAGATGGTCTGTAAATATCCAAGAAAAACTAAAACATAGTTGACTGTGTAACATTGTAAAATCTGCTTCTCCACCTCTCTGTACTTACCTGAAGCAAGTTTAAGGGTTTATTGTATAATTCTAAGCATAACTAAATGAAAAAGTTTTCTGTTCCAGCCTTGAATAAAAATAAAGTCAAACTGGGGCACCTGGGTGGCTCAGTGGGTTAAGGCCTCTGCCTTCGGCTCGGGTCATGATCCCAGGGTCCTGAGATCGATTGAGCCCCGCATCAGGCTCCCTGCTCAGCGGCGAGCCTGCTTCCTCCCCTCTCTCTACCTGCCTCTCTGCCTACTTGTGATCTCTATCAAATAAATACATAAAATCTTAAAAAAAGAAAGTCAAACTACATATTTTTATATAGTTCTTTATTTACTAAATGTAGAAAAACTCTAAATTTAAGATTCAGAAGGAAAGATGCAAGGTTGTGCTTGATTGTTCCCATTACCTAAAATGAGCTGCAGACCAAGAACCAAGTAGGAGTCTTCAGTGTTTTGGCTTATCATTGACTGTTCCACCATTTTCCCTCTAGGAGTTCCCACACTCCTAAAGGGCACTTGATTCCTTTCTAGCTAGGCAGCTATCTTAGGAAGACTGACAACTAAGTAAGTCTCAGTCCTAATCAAAAGCCAGTTCACCCCGAAGGTATCTCCTGGGTATCTGGAGATTCTTAGGCATAATGCTGCTTTTAGTTGCCATTACAGTATACCACAATCCTCTGGGATCTATAGGAATTGACAGTAAAGGTCACTGTTGAGTCATAATTGTGTCTTAACCCAGAGACCAATCTTTGTAGACCAGAAGGGACACTTTTCAACTGTTTACATTTAAAATGTTTACATTGAGTAGTGATCAGAAGCCTATCAGTACTCCCTTAAATAATTCTTTTAATCCTTAAGAAAGAATGGGGATCGGGGTGGGGGGAATTAAAGGACACTAAAGGATATCTGTGACAACTATCTTCCAAAGTACAGGACGATTTCTATTATTTGACCCTTGTCTTCTATATCCCATCTCTTCTCTCTTGCCCCTTTAAGGACAATGCTTGAGTATTTTCCACCTCATCCACTTCTTTCTACTTTAATGCTCTGATTTTTTATTTTGATAAGGGACAAGTTAACAAAAGGAAAAGATCCTATTTTATTGAAAACTTGTCTGGTTTGTATCCTTTCCTTACCTACCGATGATCTCACCCCTGCTTAGATCAACATGTACATCTTCATTCATTCTCTTAGTGTATCATCTTCCTTGTCATAAGTTGTTATCAAGCTTACAGGGTTTACATGCAGTTTATTTATGAAAGAAACGATTGATTCCAGCAAAAATAGCACAGTACAATAAGAACTGTAACCATTGAAGAATCAGACCCAAGTTTCAACATTCTAGCTATGAGCAACACTAGACAAGTCATGTTGTAAACTAGAAGACTATGCAAATGCATGATACTATCATCAGTGGTAACAATATGATTACCGAGTAATTCCTTTGTGGTTAGAGAATACAAGAACACATAGAAATATGATGGGATATAATTCCTGTCTAAAAAACATTCTATTGTTTAAACATCAGTTGGAATTACAAAATACCAGGTTTAGAACTGACCTGCTTTAACTAATACTTAGAGACAAATGGTAACAGAGTACATAATGGTGTATACATTTTAGTCAGATCTTTTTATCACAAATGTCCATTACAAAGTATACAAAAAACTAACTTAAAAAATAAGTGGGAAGTAAATGGTGAGATAGGAAGTATTTTGTATAATTTCAAGGCTGTGCTGTAAAAGGTCTTTGCGACTGTTTTTATTCCTGTTATCTTTTGTACTTCATTTGCCCTGTGGAAAGAGATACCTCTGTATTTCATAAAATGCCAAGACTACAGTAAGGAATAAATTTGCTGATTTTACAAATTGATGATTGTTTAAATTCAAAATCTTTGTTTTTTTTTTTTAGACTATATTTTCAGAATTTATCACTATTGAAATGTTATTTCATGGCAAAGCTTTAGAGGTCTACACTGCTGCCTACCAAAACATACAAAAGATTGATGAAGAAGAAGATCTGGAGGTAGGACTATGTCTATCCAAGTTCAGTCCTTCTATTAAGATGGAAATATTTAAAAGAAAGCATTAGGTTGTGTGGGTAAAAATATCTTAAATTTCAACTACAGTGGTTTATATTACTGTGTGCAGTCCCAAACAGCTAAACTTTTATGATTTTCTAAGTATGTATTTTTAACTTTTCAAATTAACCATGGTAAAGTTCCAAGAGTTAATTTATTATTTGCTGGTTAATAAGGCCATTATGTGAAACAATGTATCATTTTTGACTGGTGATGTCACTTAAGTATACTAATCATGACCTTGATTTGTGCTAAAATTTGAGTGCTTATGCTATGCAGAATACCCAAAGCTTCACATGCATTTTCTCATTCACTCCTCACACAATCCTATAAGGTAGATGCTGCTATTATTCTCATTTTACAACTATCAGAACAGGTTTAGAGGCTTTAAGTAACTTAACTTGACCATAGCTGCTTAGCTATAAATAGTAGAATCAGGATTCTGACCAGTTTTGTGTGATTTAATCAGTATGCTATGAAATAAATGTAGATTTATACTAAAACTTGCTTCGTACTGAGAGTTCAGTGCAAATCCAATTGACCAGCTAATGTCAGAACACCTAAATATCTAAGCCTGGCTTCAGCAAGCACATCTGAAGAGTAAATATCTTACCCTCCTACATTCTGCAAGGGAAGAAAAAAGTATTTTTGCTAAAACAGATAAAATATTGGAGACATACTTTATCCATATTTTATCTCTGTAGTAGAAGTGAAAAGGGCCAGGTAGTTTCAAGATATAACCAGAATTCTATATTAATAAGTGATAGAATTTGGGAGTGTCTGCCATTTGACAATTGTGAAGATTCCCCAAGTTGTTTATTTATTAACTGTCCATCATAAAGCAATCACCTGGGCCTTCTCACTACTACACTGGTTCCAGGAAACTGAAACAGAATACAGTTTGTCTAAAATGAAGAAAGGCACATTTTTTAATATGTGTGTATATGTTTTCCAGTGCCAACATCTCACCTCCCAGTTTGTTATCAGTTATGCATATATGATCATATTTCTGTTTATCAATAGATGGTTTCCTAAGTGTCCATTCTTTCCAAATACTAAAGCTAAGGTTTCTTAATTTTCACTCCTTTCATGTACTATGTTTTTTAAAAAAATAGACCAAGCTTCTGTCATTTGTAAAATAATAAAACAGAAAATGTTTATACAGTAATTACTTTGGACAGCTACTGATCTGTGTATTTTAATTATATTTTAATTCTCCCATCAACTTTGATAGAAGTACTTATTGTCCTCATATCTATGGAAGAGAAGTGAGGCAGAACAAGGTTAAGAAAATTCCCAGAGGGGGGCACCTGGGTGGCTCAGTGGGTTAAAGCCTCTGCCTTCGGCTCAGGTCATGGTCTCAGGGTCCTGGGATCGAGCCCCGCATCGGGTTCTCTCTGCTTAGCAGGGAGCCTGCTTCCCCCTCTCTCTCTGCCTGCCTCTCTACTTGTGATCTCTCACTGTCAAATAAATAAATAAAACCTTTAAAAAAAAAAAATAAAAAAAAAAAGAAACTTCCCAGAGGGTCCCATAACTATTAAGTAATATAGCTAGGACCAAACCCGGAAGTCTGGCTGCTGACACTGTTTGTATTAGCCTCTCTGTCCTGCACAGAGTGTGCTTCTTGGTGAGTGATGTGCACCATTCCCTACAAGAAACAACACTGCACTAAATGGCAGGTTCAGAATTGATCCCCCACTTTTCCTCTTCACAAGTATTTTCATTCTCCTTTATCTAATGCCCTTGACGTGCCACTTGTTAACGGTCACTAAAGTTCCTTCATTTCCTTTGGACCCCAAGATCTTCCTTCTCATTCCGGAGGTCCTAGCTAGGTTTTTTTGTCACACCATTTCTCTTACTAATATTAATCAGCTAGCTAGGTAGCTTGAGAGAGGAGAGATTCAAGAAAACCTAAGGATCTCAGGGCTGTGTGGTAGATATATTTTCAACAAAGTATCAAAGTCCCCACTTCGTAGTGAGGCAATACTGAGTAAGTTTTTCATACTTCAGCTTCCTTATCTCTAAAATGGAGATAAAGTATTTGCCTCATTAAATGTTCACTGAACAACCATTTATTGAGCACCTGTTATATGGCAGGCAGCATTCTAAGTTCTGAGGATTTAGCACTGTAAGTTAGAAATGATTCTGATCTGTCAGAGCAAAAACTTAAAAATCTACCTTGGAGTTCACACATTAAAAAACATACAGGCATACCTCAAGAGAGACTGCAGCAGTCCAGACCTCTGCAACAAAAGGAGTATCACAACAAAGCAAGTCAGATGAATTTTCCAGTTTTCCAGTGCTTAAAAAAGTTATATTTATACTATACTATAATCTATTTTTTAAGTTTTAAATTTTAATTCCAGTATAGTTAATATATGGTATTGTATACTATAGTCTCTTAAGTATCCAATAGCATTAGATCTTTAAAAAAGTATACAAACCTAAAATGTTTTATTGCTAAAAAATGCTAACCATCATCTAAGCTTTCAGTGAGTCATAATCCCTGTTCACAGGTCACCATAACATACATAGTAATAGTGAAAAAGGTTAAACTATTGCAACGATTATCAAAATGTGACACAGAGATAGGAGGTGAGCAAATGCTGCTGGGAAAATGGCACTGACAGACTTGATTGAAGCAGGGTTGCCACAAACCTTCAGTTTGTGAAAAACAGAGTATCTGAACTACCATAAAGTGAAATGCAATAAAACCAGGTATGCCTGTGCTGTGTAACTATTTAAGTTTTATAATATGACCAGACTCATAAAAAATATAGTGTATTTTAAGCATATGTGATAGAGGATTCTAAATAGTCTAGAGAAATCAAAGAATGATTTCTCAATGAGAAGTTTGAGGGATGTGTAGAGAACCCCTGGCAACACCGTTCAGGCAACGGATACAGACAGCTACACAAAAATCCTGAGGCATAACAGACTATAAGAATAAACTATATTGTGGCTATCGAGACTGGCATGGAGAAGAGAGGAGTTAAGTCTAGGGACAGCTGTGGGACCAGGGGAAGTAAAATGATATCAAACAAGTACCAAGGAGAAAAATATCCATTAAATAAACATTTCTTGGAAATAAGTAGAGAAAATATCTGAAGAAGAACAGAGAAAGAACTTGCTATTTTTCTTAGGTAGTCCATGCTTTACGAGAACTGCTGAGACTTACTCTGGTAGCAGCTAATTTTTTGCAGTTAGGCATCTAGTTATATTACAAACCATCTTACCTTACTTGTTCTTCACATAAAAAAGCATTGTTGGGCTCATTTTCCCTTCAAAAGATCACCTCTGTGCAATCACTTCAGAACATCTTGAGACTTACTCCTAGAAGAGATCTTGGACCATATTGGGAAATGCATTATTGCCAGTAAATATTCCTGTTAATCTGTTGTTTTGCACTGAGATTAATTTTAATATTTACCTGGTTTGAACTTTAATCTCATGAATGTATACGGTCTTCCATTTCCCACTTTGAACCTCATCTTTGCTAAGGCAGTTAAAAAAGGAATGTTTTTCTAACAAAAATATATCCTTTCCAAATACTAGTTGGTTAATGAGTCACCTAGTTTTTTTATCACACTTGGGTGCCAGTGTTCATATCTGGCACCAAAACGTTATTCTGTCCTCAGTAACATGTAAATAATCTAATTAGCATGGCTGAAGTGCCCTAAAACACAAGTCTCACCTGTGGAGCTAGGTTTCATCGATTTCTTTGGTGTCTTGCACTGCTTTAAGGTTTAAAGAAATGTGCAGAGACATCCCTTAGTTTGAGGTTTTTTCCCCCCCAAAACATGGGGATTAAGGTCATGTTAACATCATTCACTTATCATGTTACTGTTTTAAGCTGGGAGGAGTTGAAAAATCAAACAAGGCTCCTTGCTCTAGAGGAACTTAAAACTAGTAGGAGAGATAGATATGTAATTACAGAACAATGAAATGAAAGCTATGTTGAAAGTATGAACAATAGGAGCTAGAGAATAGGAGAAATAGACTGGCTAGAGAATAGGAGAAACTGGAAGATGGTATTTGACTTGGCTCTTGAATGGTGAGTTTGCTGGAATTCTGGGCTGAGAAATCAGCATTGCAAAGGCAGAGTAGAATATGTTCTACATGTAGGTTCATAGGCTAGAAGTGAAGAGTAATAAGCAGGTTTAAGTTAGTAAGTAGGTTGGGTGCCTGGGTGGCTCAGTGGGTTAAAGCCTCTGCCTTTGGCTCAGGTTATGATCCCAGGGTCCTGGAATCGAGCCCCACATCGGACTCTCTGCTCAGCAGGGAGCCTGCTTCCTCCTCTCTCTCTGCCTGCCTCTCTGCCTACTTGTGATCTGTCGGTCAAATAAAGAAATAAAAAAATCTTTAAAAAAAAAAAGTAAGTAGGTTAAGTGGTCTTAAGCCTTGGATATCACCTAAAGAATTTGGATCCTGGGTAGTCAGGAGCCCAGAAGGTTTTTTAATAATATATTTTGGTCTTCAGTAAGATAATTCTAAGTAAGCTACAAAGAAGGATGTGTAGAGTCAATAAATTAAAATAGAAGTACCTCAGATGAGAAATTGAGGGACAATGTCCAGGGTTTAGTTTGCTTTACTAAATGTATGGTAACATCTTTCATTGTAAAGGTTAATGTAGAACTTCACTGTCCAACACAGTAGCCACTAGGCATATGTGGCTAAAGTTAAAAATTCAGTTCCTCATTCATATAAACTACATTTCAAGGGCTTGGTAACCACATGTAGCCATTTTGGACGGCACAAAATAGCAAGCATTTCCATCACCTCAGAAAGTGCTACTAGACGGTATTGGGTCTGTGAGAACAGAAGGTAGTTGGGCACATAAGTATGGCTACCAGGAGAAAGCCTATAGAGAATTCATTGAAAGGTGGGCATTAAACACTATATAGATAAGATCTTTCAGAGAAAGGTGTAAAAAGAAAAAAAAATGGCTTAAGGGAAACCCTTTAACAATATTTAAGGTATAAACAGTAGAAAAGGAGATGTGAAGAAATAGGGCAGCTAGCACATGAAGAGTTTAGAGATGGCATGCATGGAAAAGAAGTTTCATAACCAGTTCAGTAAAGATCAAGATGGCCTTGGTGATTTTTGGCAAGAGCCATCTCAGTGGAAGGTGAAAGCCTACTTGTATGTTTTTGACAAATAGAGATGAAGTAGAATATTAAAAAAGACTATCTTGAGCTTGTTTGCTGGGGGAAAGAACCTGTGGAGAAAGCAAGTGTTTTTGGTTTCAAGTTTTGCATACAGGAAATACGCACTGTGGAAAGAATCAGAATGACATTTGCTTCAAAGGGGCAGGAGGGAAGGGTGAAGAGTTGAGGAAAAAGGGAGTGAAGTTGAAGAGATTCACATATGGTAACTGTACCTATTTGTATGTTAGAGAAATGGGAGAAGACAAAGGTATAGACAGGCTTAAGAGAGTGGTATTTGGAACTGCTGCTTTAAGGAAAAAAACTGACAAAAGTATTCCAGTTTCTAGTGAAATCGGAATGCATAAATTATACTGGCTCCAGCTTAGGTGATGTACTATCAGAATACTGCAGTGAAGTTAAATTGGTAAGAGTTGAGATAGGCAGAAGACAAAGAATCAAAGGTATGACTGACTTGAAGCCTCAGTACTGGCAAGAATCCTCTGAGGGTAGCAACTTACACGTTTCCTCAGCAAAAGCTCTCATGTGATGGTTTTAGGACCCATTGTCACTTTACTTGGCTCAAATAAACTTTTTAGCTTTCATCTTTACAACTGAAAATATTGTTTTGGGGGCATCTGGGTGACTCAGTTAAGTGTCTGACTCTTGATTTTGGCTCGGGTCATGATCTCAGGATCATGAAATGGAACCCTGACAAACCAGCTCCTTGCTGGGCATCAAGCCTGCATGGGATCCTCTCTCTCCCTCTGCCCCTCCCTTGCTTGTGCATGTACTCTCTTTCAAGTAAATAAATGTTTTAAAATATACATTTTTTGTATTTAATTTTTTAAATTAATAATAATAGAAATTTTGTCCTGGGAGGTGGAAGTGGGTGGGTGGATGTCGTTGCTTAAAAAAAAATCTTAACTAAGAGGAACTTAATATGGCTTTCTGGACTCCCTGTGTTTCCTATCTGTTACAATGTTGCTTTATCGTCCCAACAGGTTTTCCGAAATTCTGTGTATCCACCAGATTATTCATCCCGTTTAGATATCGTAAGAGCAAATTCAAAGTCACCTCTTCAAAGATCACTCTCGGCTAAGTGTATATCTGGAACAGGACAGGTAAGCTAGAAACCATACATAATTTTAAAGGAATTTAAGCAGCTGCCTTTGTTGTTCAGTACTAAAAATGTTTCCCTTAAGTCCTGACTTAATATTTACCTTCCTACCTTCTTATATAAAATGATGGAAGATTACACTAGGTGCAGCTCTCTTATTTTGTATACTATAGCACATAATACTCTCCAAAGCAGAACATTTGAGAGCAGAGGTGGAGAGGACAGAAGAATGCTCATCTAGATTTGTTCTGCAGTATAATATGAAGAGCCAGATTCTGAAGTCAAACTGCTTAGGGTTTAAAAATTCCACTATCATGACTTCCTAAAAAAGATCTTTTTGCTGAACATTATCTTAGATACAGAAGCACGTATCTTTAGGTAAGAGTCAATTTTCTCCTTTCTTCCACATCAAGAAAGCATGAGTTATCTGAGATCTAAAATGGGGAGGGGTGAACAACCTTGCTTTCTAAGAAGCTGGAGAAAAAATGGGCCCTATGGTCTATGTCCCTAGTAAGGGCAGCCATAAACAATACATTAACAAGTCCGCTGGGCTGTTAGAGTAAGACTTTATTTCCATAAACAGGAGGGAAACTGCGGTATAACACTTGCCAACTTCTCATCTAGAGATCTATACCCTTTTTCACATCCAGTATTCAGAATTTAAAACAGACCAAAATACTTTCAAAATTTAACTTTTTGGTAAATGTGACCCAGTACCTGCTATTTTCATTTGGTTCTCCTCTACGCATTTATTTACTGCTTTATATGTATGCCTCTCTCCCGGAACCAACTTTTTAACATTTTTATTATTCCAGCGTAAAGTTTCTTACATGTGAGTTCCATATACCTAGTATCATAGTACATACAAAGTTTGTTTCCATTTCCAGGTACTAATGTTACCAAAATGAGCTAACATCTGTGTAGTACTTTAAAAGTACATCATTCTAGGGTTTCTTGACCTCCCACTATTGACTTTGAGCCAGATAATTTGGCAAGGGAATGGGGAGTAATGTCCTGTGCATTCTAAACATGTTCAACTGCATCACTAGCCTCTACCCACAAGATACCAGTAACACACACAAACACACCCCCCTAGATGTGACAGCAATGACTCCAGACATTACCAGATGACCCTCAGAAAGGTCTGAAGCAAGATGACCCATGTGGCAATGATCAGGACTTAAAGCCAAGTAGTGAATTCAGATTCTCAACTCATTCCATTTAAATCACAGTATTAAATTTTAGTATTTCAGCTGCATAGCTGAAATATTCTTGAAAGTTTTTCCTATACCTTTGATGATTCTCACTGAAATGCCGGTTTATAAAAACCTTGTGACCGAGGAATTACTTAACCTAAAATATATTTGACATAATATCCTGAATCTGTACCCTTTCTCTGAAGTATTTTATGTTACTGAAGTGCTGGTATCCAACTGAAATGGAATGGTTAATTTCCTATTTTTGCTCAAACATAACATGATAAATGAATGAAAAAACTCTGTGACTGTTTTTAGCCTTAGAATACAGTAATTTAGGGGCACCTGGGTGGCTCAGTGGGTTAAGCCCCTGCATTGGGCTCTCTGCTCAGCACCCCCCACCCCCTGCCTGCCTCTCTGCCTACTTGTGATCTCTGTCAAATAAATAAAATCTTAAAAAAAAAGAAATACAGTAATTCATAGGAAAGTTTCATTACTAAAAATTAACTTCCTGAAATATGTTCTATGTGCCCTTCTCTGTAGGGGCATATTAAAAAGATAAGCATGTAAAAATATTTTAAGTTAATATATTTTTTAATGTGTTAACTTCTAACAGGTATCCACCTGTCGACTAAGAAAGGATCAACAGGCAGAAGATGATGATGAAGAGGATGAAGACTTAGATGTCACAGAAGAAGAAAATTAATCTTCTTAAGTAAACTCCACCTTTCAGTTTTCATCTTAAATGACTTGGAATCCAGAATTAATACAATGTAAAACTTTATACTGGCTTCATACACAATAAACCTCAAAATGAAATCCCACTGGAAATGAAAATTAAAGGAAATCTGTGCTGACAAAAACTGAAGGTTTTAAAAAATATTACACACCAGTCATTTCAACATCCTATCCAACAGTATGTGATTTTTGTATAGGTTCCATTTTTTTTAAAATTATGTATTTCAAAAGTATTTCATATTAATGCACTATACGTAGTTGAGGTTGCAATATAACTAGGTGAGAAAAAACAAGAGATCTAACAATTTGACTTCTTTTGCTTTCATTGCCAAAAAAGGGTCTTTAGTCATTCTGATTAAATTCAAATTCTATTCCATAAAGCCTTAATAAAAAAGACAAGGGTTTTTTTCCTTTCCTCATTTTCACTTTTACTATAATCTTAAGTTTCATTGTTTGATAATTTACTTTTCAACAAGAGTGTTATTACTTCTGATTAAAGGTAATGGGCACTAGGATATCAGTGTCTTAAATTTTAGGTTAAAATTTAGCATAAATTTTAGATTGACAAAGAAAGCTACATTCAGCCTGATTCAGGTTTCAGAATGAAAATGCTATCAGACTAAAGAATTATACACAAAACTACAACTTTTGGAAAGCTGTAATTTGGTAGAATGTTGCTAAGAAAACATCATGGAAAATCATTAAACCAAACTACCATCTAATTAATGAAAAGAGGATATAGTTACTTTTATTCCTGAAAATAATTTAATCAGAGCCTTTCAGTATGCCCATTTGTTTCTTTGGATGGGGACTGCACTTTTGATATTTCATGGATACTAGTCAGGCATATAAAAATAATGAAATTTTTAAATCATTTGGGATAACACAAAAAACAATTATTCATAACAGACAAATAAAGACTTTACAGAAAGCTTTTTGACTTTTTCATGGTTCTGTTCTTAACAAAACATGGCTTCCTGAGAATAGTCCTAAGTGATAAAATTACTTCAGTACTTTCTAAACAAAATATTCAAAATGTTTTAAAACCTAAATGAATTAGAACACTCAAGCTATTGCATTTTTATTTTTTGGTATGTAACTGTGGTGTTGTAGCTGGGAGGGAAAAAAAAGTTATAGTATTTCTTGTTTGTAATAGCAGCTCATGTCTCTTGAGCATTAGTTGCCCTATCTATAAAGTTAAAATAGTGCCTGATACATAAAGCAGTCAGCAAATAGTTCTGATATAAAATGAATGCTCTGCCTACTTCAAAGAAATATTCTAGGGCGCCTGGGTGGCTCAGGTCATGATCCCAGGGTTCTGGGATCCAAGTCCCGCATCAGGCTCCTTGCTTGGTGGGGAGTCTGCTTCTCCCTTTCCCTCTGCCCTTCCTCCCGGCTCGTGCTAATAAAATCTCAAAAAAAAAAAAAAAAAAGACAAAAGGATTACTATACATAATACTTCCAGCAATGTAAAATTTTCTTGTAGATCAGACTTAGGTTGGCAAACTTTTTCTTAAAGGGCTAAAGTAAGTATTTGTGTGCTGAGAAAACACAATCAACGCTATTACATAGGTACGTATATAATCATTTAAAATGTAACGACCTTTATACCCTAGGTGGTTGGGGTGGATGTCTTATGATAATCACCTGTGACCAGCAAAAAAAATAACTGAGCCCCTAAAAAGGAAGTAAGCCACTGAAGGTGTTATCAATAGAGATGTTAAAAAGGATCCAAGTTCCCTGGTTAGCTTTCTATAAAAGACCAACCCTAAAGACCCTCATCAGCAAGACAACCCTGTTGGGACACCTCTCACTCTTGAAAGCTTTTTCTGTATCTTCACTTAATAAACTCCTATTGCTTTACTCACACACAGAAAAATGTAACCACCTTTAAAAACGTAAAACCTCTTTCAGCTTCCTTGTAAAAAAATAACAGGTAACCTAACCAGTTACTTTTGGGGTAAATGGTCCATATAGACCCCCATTTCTTCTCTCCAAAATAAGTTTATTAGGGTTATTGAGAATGAATGATATAGTTAATTCATAATTATAGATCATAAGTATGTAGTATCTAATGCAGCTCAGTAATAACTAACATTTAATACAAAGATGGAAGTAATGGGGTCACTACTTAATAGGTGATATGTGAACCAAGAGCCACTGCTCTAGACAGTATTCTCAGTAAGTGATAAAAGTGTACTCCCAATGTAATGATTAACTACCTCTTTGTTTATGGGATTATTTTTACTTTCTAAACATAAACTCTATTTTCCAGATACCTTCTGACAAAAACGTCTGGCTTTAAGATAATTAAAATGCCGCTGGATATTTAGCTGGAGAACCAGTATGCTCTTAGTGTACCTGATCTATCTGGGAGTAGAAAAGAGGCAAAACTGGCTGATACAGTTGACCCTTGAACTATGCCAGGGCCAGGGGTGCTGACCTCTGTGCAGTTGAAATCCACATAACTTTTGATTCCCCCCAACTTAATAGCCTACTCTTGATCAAAGGCCTTACCAGTAACAGTTAATCAATGTGTATTTTGTGTATTATATATCGTATTCTTACAATAAAGTCAGCTAGAGAAAACAAAATATCATTAAAATCATAGAAAATACCTAGTGTTACACTGTATTTATCGAAAAAATTCTACGTTTAAGTGGATATTTGCAGTTCAAACCCAGGTGGTTCAAGGTAAACTATCAATGGGTGTATAAGAACTTAGCACAGTATTCTATGTGTTTGAAATTGGTGGTGTGCTTGGTAAACTGGCTCTCCAACATGGAAAATGCCCTGATTTGTTGCATTTGCCAACTTCCGTGGCATCAGAACTCCTACCATGGCCAATTTAAGTCACCAATATACCACTGAAAGCAGAGTTGGGAAAAGATATGCATAAATGGTTCCTAACCAATAGAAGCCAGTTTTCTTTAATTAACTTCTAATTTTTAAAGGTTATGAACTAAATGATTATGGGGTAACGTTAACTGTTCCTATCAATTCATTTAGTTTACAATCAAAATACAAAGCTTGTGTTTACTAATGTTGACCTTTTATTTACTACCACCATCATTCCCCAGCCCATTTTAAGAAAAAGTTCCATATTATGGGGTATTTCACTGTTAGGCTTCATCTTAGCTCTTACTGATATTTATTTGAGAAGTATTTTAAAGTCTTCCATACATTCCCCAAGAAGGCTGATTCATCTATATAATCTGAGCATTCAAAAATATAATTTTTTCCTATATTGTTGATGTTTAGAGTTTATTAATTTATCATTCTCCTAGCTATTTATAAACTTAATAGTTTAAAGAGCCGTACTGATGTGCTTTTTCAAACCAAATTACCAGTTTATTCATTCTACAAGAAGTTGTATTCACTAGAATTAAACACACAGAAACTTGAGTTGGTTTCTCTTAGACTTCTCAAATCACTGAAGATTCATCCAAAATGGTAGTAAATAACTAAGTGCTGACAAAGTATTCTACTTTTGCTATATCCAATTATTAAGTGACTAAACTACCATATGTAAATTCAAATTTTATTCTTACTTGCTCAGGAAATAAGGATAAATAGGAAACCTCTGGATCACAGAACTGAGAAAAATTAACCTGGTTTTATGTAAACTAAAAGGTCAACCAAAGTCAAATCATATTTGATAAACAATTTTTAATTAGAAGTCAATTTCTAATGTTATTATCCAAGAGAAGCCCTGGATACATAAAAACTTTTAAAGTTAATTTGTCTTTTATGAACAATGAGCATACTAATTTTGTTTTTAATGCTATTTTTAAAGCAGCAATGTGTAAAGAAAATATTGGTTTACTCTTCAAAATATCTTCAGCATGATCTTACTAAAATTAGAAGTACCACTTAACAAAGTTAGTAGGCGAAAGTGTTAAGAGCATGAACTGGAGTCAGTGGTCTGGGTTGAAATTAGCTCCATGATTTACTAGCTATGACTTTAGGCAAGTTACTTAACCTCTAAACTTCATTATCTCACTTGCTGAAATAGATATAATAGTCCATACTTCCTAGGGAATATTTAAACTGAGATTATGCATGTAAAGCACTTTCACTGCCTAGCATACAGTAAGTACCTAATAAATGTTAGCCATTATTATATTATGGGTTATAAAAAAAAGCCAAATCCAGTGTTTATAATATAAACGCCCACACTAAATATCAAAGAAGTCAAAATTCAGTCTCATAAATGTCTGATTATATTTAGTTATTGAGTCTTTGGATTCAAAGTCTTAAAATTTAAAAATGAGAACCTAATAAAAACTACAAATAAAAAAAAACCTACTAAAGGACTAAATTCTAAATTCTTCCTAGAAACAAACTATATCCATTTATCAAGATTCTTCCCAGCAGAAGCCTGAAAGTCCTTTATAGCTACAGTTACTTTTTGTCTTTTAAGTATTTTGAGTAAAACTTAGCAGTTTGGTTGATGAAATGTAGAGGAAACCACAGATCTACACATAGCTCTCTATGCTATTATTATAGGATGTTTGGTCCGTTCTATCATAAATACTAAGGTAGCTGTTGAAAACTTCACAGAAGAAGCTGTAATTCTTTTTTTTTATACGAATACAAGTAAAGTTAGTTGGTCTATACATTTGCAATTTTTTATTTTTATAAAACTTTGCAAAGTTATGAACATGGAAACTTCAAGAATCTCCTAAGCTTTTTACATAAGTAAACTTCAAATTCACAGTCTGTCTATTTTCAACTATTTATAATTAATGGGAGGCTAACACGGTAATATCTTGGACAAAGAGGGCATTAATTCTGCAGGCAAATTAGCAATAAAAATGCTAAACCTGAACAATCAGTCACTGACCATTTCCTTATACAGTATAAGATGTAGACTACAGACGGGAAACGAAAAGCGAATATAAAATTTATCTTCCCCAAATACAGCTCTACTATACAAGTTTTGAGGTTTACCCATGACATCAACAAAAATTAATGCACTTGTAATTTTCTCCCCCACTGTCCAAAAAAAAAAAAAAGCCATATATAATTGTAAATGAGAAAGAGTGGCAGTTTGCAAGCAAAAGAAAACCAGATTCACATTCTAATATTTACATTTGTTCTACTCAAAAGTCAAATTAAAATGTTTCTTTTCATTAGATCATTAAAAATAAACACTTAAAAAAAAGAATGCATTTTACTGCATCAATACTGTGGGGAAGTAACTCTGAATTTAGAAATGCTCTCTAGAGCAAAATTAACTTAACTTTGCGAGGGCCAACTGGCCTATCATTTAGATCTTTAATAGCAGCCATAGCTTCATTATAGTTTATCATAGCAACAATGGCTTCCCCTGTAGGTAATCCTTGCTCATTATACTGTATCGAAACTGAATCAGGTATGATTCTATAACCATGGAAAAAGTCTAGAATTTCATTAACATTAGCTTTAAATGGAAGATTCATTATCTTGATAGGTGTTAATCTACCTGAACAATTTAATTTTGGATCAGGCATAAATCTCCCCTCAGGAAAACTTCCCATACTGCGCTTTCCAAAATCAAACTTGCCACCTTCCGGGCGACCAAAATTCACTAAAGGGCGATGACTTCTAAAGTCATCAGGTGGGTTCCTAAACTCCTCACCAGGAGGTCTAAAACTGTCAGGAAGTCTAGGGTCCTCCTCTGGAGGTTCCCTGAGGTCTTCCTCCGGGAGCCGCCTGAAGTCCTCATCAGAAGGGCATCTAAAATCTTCCTCCTGGGGGCTCCTGAAGTCCTCCTCAGGAGGATGCCTAAAGTCTTCATCAGGAGGGCCTCCGAAATCTTCATCCGGTGGGTGCCTGAAATCTTCCTCTCGGGGGCGCCTGAAATGTTCCTGGGGTGGCCGGCGGAAGTGCTCCTGGGGTGGCCGGCGGAAGTGCTCCTGGGGCGGCCGGCGGAAGTGCTCCTGAGGTGGCCGGCGGAAGTGCTCCGGCGGCGGCCGCCTGAAATGCTCCGGGGGCGGCCGCCTTAGGTGCTCCGGGGGCGGCCGTCTGAAGTGTTCAGGGGGCGGTCGCCTGAAATCCTCCTCGGGAGAACGCCTGAAATCCTCCTCCGGAGAACGCCTGAAATCCTCTTCGGGAGGTCGCCTGAAGTCTTCCCCTGGAAGGCGCCTGAAATCCTCCTCAGGGGGCTGCCTGAAGTCCTCCTCGGGTGGTCGTCTGAAGTCCTCCTCAGGTGGTCGTCTCCATTCCCCTTGAGGAAGCCGCCTGAAGTCCTCCTCCGGAGGCCGCCTCCAATCCTCCTCAGGTGGCCGCCTAAAGTCTCCCTCCAGGGGCCTCCTCCAGTCCTCCTCGGGGGGCCGTCTCCAGTCCTCCTCAGGGGGTCGCCTGAAGTCCTCCTTGGGAGGCCGTCTGAAATCCTCCTCAGGTGGCCGCCTCCAGTCCTCCTCTCTTGGGTACCTGAAGTCCTCCTCCCGAGGGTACCTAAAATCCTCCTCCCAAGGGTGCCTGAAATCCTCAAGAGGCCGCCTTAAGTGTTCCTCCCGAGGGCGCCTAAAGTCCTCTGGGGAGTGCCTGAAGTCCTCTGGGGAATGCCTAAAGTCTTCTGGAAGGCTCCTATCAAGCTGTCGGAAATCCGCCTGGGTTTGCCTGAAATTGTCCAGTTGCCTCAAGTCCTCTTGCTGATGCCTAAAGTTTTCAGATGGGCCAACTGAGTATATTGGTAGATCACTGGAGTCAAATGAATGGGAGTGGTCATCTCTATCACATGACTGTGAATGGTCTTGCATTCTCTCAGTGGGCATCAAGGAAAAATTTACACCAAACTCCTGCATTTGTGCCTCAGATATAAGTCTTAACAATACCTCTGTCCCCAAGAATCTCCGCCGGTTTAAACGTTCAGCTTTCGTGGCCTGTTCTTCTGTTTTGAATTTCACCAATGCTTCTCCCAGACCAACTCCTTTGTCGTCATAAAGTAAGTAAATGTCCTCTTCTCCAAGAGAAAAGTCTGCAAAGAACTTTTGCACTTCCACTTTTGTAACATCAAAAGGAAAATTTCTTATATATATACACAGTTTCTGGCCAGGGTAGCCTTCTTGAGGGTATTTTTGTGAAATATGTCCAAGCCTTTCTTTCTCTATTGACACTGGTCTTTTCTTTTCATAACATTCGATGAACTTCAGCATTTGTTTTCTAGAAACAGGATCAATATGAACAGGACGATACTGTAAAACAGTCTTGTGTAAAGCCAGAGCGGTGTTATAGTCTTTCAGAGTTTTGAACATCACAAAGGCGTATCTTGTTCTTCTTTCATCTTTATATAAAAACCTAATCTGTTCATTAGTCAGATCAGTATCTCTAAAGAAATTTCTTAAATCTCTCTTGTTAATACTTAGGGACAGATTTTTTAAGTGAACATAAAATCCAAGAGGAGAACGAGAACGTGTTCTTCTGGGAGATTTTGAATGAGATCGTTTTCGAAAATGTCGATCATTAATTCCTCTTGGTGGAGAATGTTCTTCAGTTCTCACAGGAATGTCAACCTCCTTAATTACATTACCACCAAACTCAATCCACTGTTGTTCTGAGCCTTGCATTACTTCTATGAATCTTGAACCCATAAAACTTCTATGACATTTAAGACCTCCTGAAGCATCAATACATGAAGCAAATTTTACTATGGCATCACCATTATTTCGGCCATCATGATGTTTCAAGAAAATCACGCCATCCACACACAAACCAGAGAAAAAGACACGTACATCATCTTCATTTACTAAGTAAGGCAAACCTCGCAGAAACAAGTAAGGATTCTCTGCCTTCAATGGCCGTGTCTTTCTTGGCCTTAAATCACCATGTCCTGTACCATTAGTATGAAACCCAGCATCTTGATTAATTGGAGAGCCATATCCAGAATTACTTGCTTCTTCTTTAATAGCCTCAACAAAGTTAGACAAGCTGCCAGCCCCTGACGCCCCAGATCCTGGTCGCTCTCTTCCTATGCGATCAGTTCTTTTCATTTCTATAGTCTTCTGCATTTCTGCCTTACTACTAAGAAAGAGCTCTACAGATGAATCCTTGATAAACCCTCCTGAACGACTTATGGCACGTCTTGCATCTTCATCTGTTGCAAAAATAATAAAAGCCTCCCCAATTTCCCCTCCAATTATATGCACTCCTCCATCAGGAATAGTCAATCCCGTGAAGAAGTGACGAATATCCACAGGCCCCGCAATAAAAGGAAGCCCCAGTAAACGGATGACTACAGCCATGCTGAGCTCAAACCACAGCAATAATGACCTGCAGACAGAAAGGTACACATAATAGCAAGTCTTATTTTTGAAGTCCCTTATCCCAGACTAAACTTAATAATTATTTGGTTCCTACCTTCTTCAGCATTTATAAATGAAAACAAGGTACGAGTTCACAAAAAATAGACTATATCTAATTTCTTAAAGAATAAACCTTCTCCCATCTAAACATACAAATAAACCAACTATTTCAAAGATCTTTCATATCACCTATCCTATACAATATGAGCATCAAAAATATCAAATATTTGTAAGTCTGCCAAGCACTGCTTCACAACAAGACCAAACTATTTTTCACTTAGAAGCGTATCTTCTACTGAAGCATGAGAGAGAGCTTCGCGGGTTAAGGAATTTTACCAACCAAAATGAGTTTTACATATTCGAAAAGCCATCTATGGTCAGTATATAACTGTTGCTTATGATAATAAACGGTCTACTAGTGCATTACTGGCCAGAGGTAACGTACAGAAACCACATGTACCTACATGTCCTACTCTACTCTACATTTTTTTGTCAAGCTTCTGTGAAAAGCCTTAAGCTCTGAATATCTTACCTTTTTAAAATTTCTTGGAGACCTGTTAATTCTGTAAAAGCAACTTAACTGTGGAAAGAAAATGAAATATAATTAATCCTCGGACCCTGTAATTGATCTTAAACAACGCCAGATTAGGATATTCACTTCAGAATTACCTATTAAAAGTGAAGCAGTAATAGGAACCACAACTATGGGCATTACAAAATGGTCTTCTTTGTTCCAGAGGAAATTAATCATCCTTCAGCAAAAACGAAGTACAAATTCCAAGTAGACATCTACGAATTATTTTAAAACAAAAAAAATTCTGGAAATTAAACAGCTCCTTGATTGGAAGTAGCACAAGGAAAAGGGTGATAGAAATGTTATACATTTTGATTAGAGTGTTGGTTATATGGGTATAAACTTATCAAGACTAAATGAGCACTATTCTTAAAATCTGTGCATTTCATGGTATATAAATTTTACATCCACTTAAAAAAAAAAAAGGCAGCTGTTCTACAAGTAAAATGACAATTTAAAGTTACCAAAAATTCCCCAAAAGCCTATCACTTCCACTCAGGAAAAGAAAGACCAAACACCTAGCTCAGTAAGTCCAACTCTCTTGCAATTTTCCTCCCTTTTAAAATGTAAGACCAAATCAAACTAGTAAGGCAACAATTCAAAATGATGCAATAAATGAACAAGACACTAATGTTTTGAATTCAAAAACCAATATTTAAAGCAATATATCAAAACCAATGACTACCCCTTTGGATCCAATTTTAAGTTCTACACATACAACTCACACTTTCAAACATGGAACCAAGTTTCCGGATTCTAAGATAATTAAGGCAAATACTAAAATACCCCTAAAATTGGGGCACCTGGGTAGCTCAGTCGGTTAAGCATTCGACTCTGGGTTTCAGCCCAGGTCATGAACTCAGGGTCATAAGATCAAGCCCCTCATTGAGCTCTAGGCTCAGCATGCAGTCTGCTTGCATTCTCTCTCCCTCTGCCTCTCCCCACTGCTCTCTAATAAATAAAATCCTTAAAAAGAAAATAAAATACCTCTAAAACAAACAAAAATCTCAACCACTACTTATCTTAAACTCCTAAAACAATTACTATTAAAATTCACCTTAAGCCAAACAGAGTGTTCCAATATAGAATCTTACTATGCTAACAAGTTTATTCCATTTCAAACAGTCCTGCATTGAGAAAATCCAAATAACATATAGAAAATAGAATAAAAGCACATTTATTTAGAATGTTTAGGTATTATCAGTATTAACTGCTGAAAAATTTTAACTTAGTATTTCCTTAAGGAAATTTATATCTAATATTTTCAGAGATACCCAAAGTAACAATATGCAATATAGTCTTAATAAGTTTTAAGAGTTGCTAAATAATTATAAATTTGTTTTTGATGTGCCAATAAATGTTGCTTTAATTCAGTATTTACACTTAAGTATCACTCTTCCACAAAATGTGGTCCAAAGACATATTCTTTGAAGTCTGCAAGGTTTATTTTCCTTTGAAAATGGCCCAATGATTCAACTTTTTAAACTACAAGCTAAATTAACAAAGTTATCAAGAAATTACTTGGCATATTCTACATCTGAATTACCAATGCCAAATTGGTACTGAAATATTAATGACATTTATTATTAAAATATTTACATGGGGGGCGCCTGGTTGGCTCAGTCCTTAAGCATCTGCCTTTGGCTCAGGTCATGATCCCAGGGTCCTGGGATTGAACCCCACGTTGCCCCGCGTCAGGCTCCCTGCTCTGCAGGAAGCATGCTTGTCCCTCTCCCACTCCCCCTGCTTGTGTTCCTTCTCTCCCTGTGTATCTCTCTGTTAAATAAATAAATAAATCTTTTTTAAAAAAATATATTTACACGATACATGTGTGGGGGCAGGGGTATATGGGAAATCTACGTATCTTCTGCTCCATACTGCTGTTAACCTAAAAAACTGCTCTAAAAAAATGGTCTATTTAAAAAAATACGTGCACAGTACCAAAAATAAAAAATGAGTACAAGCCTGTTTCCTTCAACAAACCAATATCCACACCAACATTTAAAAAACTATAAATGGCTTCTAGACTAGTCCCCACTAAAGTTTCAAGATTCCTTCCTATGCGAACTGACTTAGCTCCTTTACTTTTATATTTTAGAAAGATACACACCATTTTATCTCTCCTAAACTTTTTCAGAGATTTAAAACGGATTTGCCCTGAGAACATAAATATATCTACAAGATAATTAGGGATGTTTCAAGGAATATGTCAAATTCAAAAAATTTCAAAATTTCTTTTTCTCCCTTGCTTACAAACAGTATTTTAAATAGTTCCATGAGTACAAATCTCATGATTCCTATTCAAACAGACAATATATTTTTTTCTAATTTGTCACGTATAACTAACACCTAACTTTTCTGCCCTTTGGAGGGAGGGAGGGAAATGTACTATTTTCTCTCTCAACGACATACCTGAGAGACCACCTATAAGAGACCAGTTCTCAAAATGAGCACTTTTCCTGTGGTTCCCATGTTATTTCCTTAAGCAAACTCCTCAGCAATTCTACCCTTAGAACATTACACAAAAATCGAAATACACAAAATACCCACAAATCACTGCACTTAAAATTTTTTCTACTTAGGAAGGCAACACACGTATTCTTTTGACTGTGTTAATTTAAAGACCATGATATTAGAACTTCTAACCTATGAAAAGATGGAAGTGAGTCCTTAAAAGCTCCTTTAAGGGCAAGTCACTGATAAGTTCATTTTAAATAATCTTGCTGATTTTATCCAGGATTCATCCCACTTGATCACCATTATCCACTAAACAATACAAAATGTGCATCTTCTAATCAAGTCTGAAGGGAAACAAGAGACTAAATTTAAATAGGTATTATTATCTCAGACCTATCTGATTTTAACTAGCGAATAACAAGTCATTTTCCAGATATGGTGGGGGAAAGAAAATGACTATTCTTTAAAACCCAAAGTTATGACGAAATTCTAAACACAGGAGTTTCCCCTGCAGAAAATAATCTGGCCCAGTCCACAATTATTCTTTATGAAGATCTGCCTTTTATCACTTTATAATGTAGATGGTTAAAACAAAAACCAAAGGTATGACGACACAGAGCCATAGTCCTTAACAGGAACTGGAAATGAAGACGAATCCACACGGCACAGGATTTCCCATAACATCCATCATCCTCAAATGGGGATCATCCGAAGGCACTGCTTCTATAGCCCAAAGCCTTTGTCCATACTCCCAGGAGTCAGAGCTTCCTTCTTTCGCGCCAGGCCAAAGTTGCTACGTGGGATCCGATGCTGTCGCCAGACCTTCAGCCACAATCAGCCTTCAAATTAACCTGGACCGCCCAACCTCCGTGCCTTTCCGTTACGCCGTCCCAAGGGCAAACATTCCACCCTAACTCGCCACACGGTGTACTGCCCCATACCTAACTCAAACACTTTGGGCCACTCTAATGCCTAACGAGCCGGGCCTTCAGCGCTTTTCTGCCACCACTGACTACGATGACATAGCAAAGAAAAAAAATACCTATGAAATCCTTCGATATCTTCACTCAAGAAAACTGGGCAGCGCACACACACCACCACATGGAGACTGACGGGAGAGTCGGTGTTTAGCAAGGAATGAGGGTGCCCTAACGGCAGAAGCTACGCTAGCTCCTGGCGCGGCTGCGGGCCCCGCCTTTCCCTGCTCTTCCTTCCCCATCGCCAACCCCTCCCCACCCCCGACGCCCGAAGGGTAACTGCTTCGCACTTGGTAATAAACACACACCACTGCTGCCGAGTCGGACACACAAGGCCGGAGTCGGGGGACACTCCTCGTCGCAGCAGCCTGCCCAGTACAGGTGGAGCCCTCAGTGAGCCTAGAAGAAGATGGCGCCCACTCTCCCCTCCGCTCCGGACAAACGGACGTACAGTTTGTCTGCCCATGCGCTCTCCAGGCGTAACCCACCACCCCGGCGCCCCGGCCACGTTTGCGCAGGCGTCTTGACGCTCACCCGCTTCCCGTTGTCAGGGGAAGGGAGGCGGAGCCCGCGAGCGCGCCATCCCGCCCTGGGTTTGATGAGCTTCTGCGCATGCTCAGATTCCATCCAATCCGGGAGTCTCCACCAAAGAAAGGCGAGATTCCTAGACAAAGTTCGGGGGTCGACTCATTGTGGTAATGAGAAGCTTCAACAAATAATTCCTGAGGTACGTTGCTCAAACGTTAGTGATTTCCAGGAGTAAAGGAAAGCAGAGAAAAGCAGAGAAGAGTTGACGATTTCTTTCTGTCTTTAGCTCTGCAGTAATCGTGTGGCGTAAGCATATTCTGAAAGGCTCTTTATAAAATCTAAAAGGGGATTAAAAAGGTTTTATTGCCTTAGATGTTTGGCAGATACGATGCCAACACCTAGGGGCTTAATAAATGCATGCCTATTTATATTATATTAAATTATGCCAAATTTATAGACACTAATAACTTTATGAAGCATTTTTTTTACGTTTGTTGTTCTACTTTCTAGTTTTTTGAAACATGAGACAGACCAATCTTGAAAAAATGGTAAGTGAAAAGCACAATTACAGAAATGTTCTGTGATGCCGGCTACGTAATGGGTGGTGAACAACCTTATGTTTGATTTCATTTTTTTGCAAATAAAGCAGCCTACCAGTTTTCATTTTTTTGCAAATAAAGCAGCCCACCAGTTTTATAACTACATGATGTATTTATGGGTGGAGCCAAAGCTCCCTAAGGAAGCAGAAACTATATCTTTAAAACACTTTGGAGATGAAAAAAATGAATTTTCGATCTCTCTGATAGGATTATGAGAAGAGATCATCTAACAAGTGAATAAAAGGTGGTTCCTGGAATGAGAGCCACCATTTACTCACTTGGGTAAGTTTTTTAGCCTCTCCGTGCCTCAGTTTCCTCATCTGTAAAATGGGGATAATAGTAGCATCTACACCATGGGCCTGCCATAAATATTAAATGAGTTAATATGCGTAAAACCTGAGACTAGGTAAGTATTAGTGGTTTCAGATGTCAGGGTGATCCACATACAAGCACAGGATAGCACTTTGGGGAGCTAGTTTCGTTGAGTAGATAGCATTTGCCTTGATTATTCCCCACAGTCCAGGGTTTGGTCCTAGGGGAACCTGACCTCAAAAGCTAAAGTTTATGGAGGGCTTACTATGTGGCAAGCCCTGTGCATTATCTCATTGTATTCTTAAAACTACTTTCAGAAGTAGTTACTATTATTTTTCCTATTTTACAGATAAGGGAAATGGACATAAAGGATCACATAGCTTGTTCAAAGCTATAGGGATAGTGCAAGGTAAAGTCAGGAATTGAACCCTGGTCATTTGCTCCCAGAGGCCACAGGGGAGGATTCTGTCCTTGGAGGCAGACTCCCTTTAAACAAGCACACCGAACCTACACTCCAGAATGTCAATATTGTCAATATTAATTCACAAGAAGAAACACTGGCAAAGTGGACCTGAGGTCAGCTCTGGCTTTTTCTGGCCTGTATATGCTCTCTATATGAAGTCAAATGCTCAGAGAATTGTTTGCTAAACATGAAAGTGGAATGAGGAGATACCTAATCTCAAAAAGTGGTTCTCAGTTAAAGGGTACCTGGAAGCATTCTCACCTATATTAACAAAAATAATAACTATCATTTATTGAGCACTTACTATAAGGCTAGTCCGAACAACTGTGCTTAGATCAGACTGCCTCTTTTGGACAAGTTTAGACAGGTATTGCCAGACTTTTTTACTGTTTTGGAATGACTAGCCCCTTCTACTCACACAGATTTTCTCCACAAACAAGACACGATAGTGAATGCCTGTCTTTTATAGTCTGCCTTCTGCCTTACTCAGATAACAATACCATTACAATCAAAGCCAGAAAATTCCAGCTGAAGTAATTGGGTTTAATTACATGGTATTCTGGTTATTGTATAGTTCTTGAACCTTTAGTATGTCAACATGGAAACCTAGCCATTTTAGAGAACAGAAAGAAAAGTAAGTTTCTGGAACAACAAAACCAAAGACTATCCTAAAATATGGTAACCACACTGAGCCATGAGCATTCCATGGCTCTGCCTGGGCATTTAGCCTCTCCAAGCTTTTTGCCACATCTACATCACTTCCTGCCCTCCTGAATGATTTTGGTATCAGACGGTTTTCAGCTACCCTTCTAAGCTCTTCAACAACCACAGTGAAAGCCTCTGTCACTGGGGTGCCTGGGTGGCTCAGTGGGTTAAAGCCTCTACTTTCAGCTCAGGTCCTGATCGCAGGGTCCTGGGATCAAGCCCTGCATCGAGCCCTGCATCGGGCTCTCTGCTCAGCAGGGAGCCTGCTTCCCTTCCTCTCTCTCTCTCTGCCTGCCTCTCTGCCTACCTGTGATCTCTGTCAGATAAATAAAATCTTAAAAAAACAAAAAACCTCTGTCACTTGGTCTTAAGAGTTCCTTGATTTTCTCAACTTCAAGGACCTTTACTCCTCTTGCACACCTTGATTTCCATTCAATTCCACTGGCATTTATTGAGCACAGACTGTGTATCAAGCACCTTGCCAAGGCTCCTGAGAGATTGGGGTGAAGAACCCACAGTCCCCTTTTCTCAGGATGCTTATACTATAGCAGAAGAGACAGGGCACATACCATCACACACAGGAGGACATGTAGAGCATGGAGATTAAGAACTGGGTTTCTCAGTCAGGCAGATCCAAGTTCAAATCCCAGCTCTGCCACTTCATGACCGTGAATGAGTTCCTTATCTTTAAACTTTTCCATTTGTAGGGTGAAGATAACAGTACCCACCATTCAGGGCCATTTTTGAGGACTAAATGATACAGTGCTTGTAATTCCAAAGACAATGTAAGAAGAAAGCCAAAGAGTAAAATAAAATAAAATAATGTAGAAGGCTTTGTGTTGGAAGTCTCCTGCAGGCAGTCTTTCAGCCCCCACTCAGCTGCACAAGAATGAGCCTTGAGTCTGGAACCCTTCCTTATCAAGAGTTAAAGAGCCCACACAGACTGCACCTGGCCTATCACCTTCTGTGGGAATATCCTTCCTTGTTTTGGGCTCACTAAGTACTCTTGTCTGTGTTTCAGAAACGTCTATTATATGTCACTTGGTCAACCCACTGTTGTATTGGTCCCCTGAGGAGAGGGACCAGGTTGCTTCCACTGCAGCATGAGAGGGGTGTGGCACAGTTGCCTTGTGTCAGTGGCCAGGAGAGACCCACTGGCCATCGGGGACTGACACCTCTGTTGAAACTGATCCTGCTGTCTCTTTTCTATGTAAGTAAAGTGTTGTGGCAAACTTTTTACTTAGTAACTCCAAACTCAAGATGCAATGGACAGAAATGTTTGGAGTCCTCCACGAGACTGGTTACTGGTGCATGTAACACAAAAATTTTGTGGACACAAAAAAATTCTGTCTCATGACTGGCTAGTGCCTACTCCAGCCTTAACCCACACTACATTGGTCCTCTGCCCCCTTTGTAGGCATCAAGTGAGAGAAGACAGCATTGAGATCCCCTCAGAATTTAGAAGATGGTAATAAACTAGAGAATGAAGGAATGAAGCAAGTTTTGATTTAATCTTTTCCATTGCAGCAAATTGTATTAAATGACAATGTATAATGCAGAACTCCAGATGCTAAGAGACAGTAGGGAACAAAATTGGACATGGTTCTTGCTCTCATAAATCTGGTCATACAGGAAAGGACAGGAAAACTAGTGAGAATTATTCAACTGAATGTAAATTTATAGCAGGGACAAGAGCTATAAAAGGGAAATACATAATGCTGTGAGAATATTTCATAAGAGGGCCTGGCCTGATCACAAAAGGTAGGAGGAGTTTCTTAAAGAAGTGGCAGATGAGTTGGAAAGAAAAGGGTGAGTTAACAAAGTAAATAGAATTTCTCAGGGAGGGGGAGGAAAGAGGGGTGGTCCATGCAGAGAGGTGCACTGGCTTAGCGCATTTAGAGAACCAAAAGAAGACCAATGCAGGCAGAATGCATGAGAGTGCACAGGACAATGAAAGGATGCAGGAAGAATCAGACCCTGCTAGGAGTTGGGGTTCATGCTCAAGACTTTGAGCTTCCCCCTGGGAAAAACAATGAACTATTTTAAGCAGAGAGGTGATATATTAGACTTGCATTTCAAAAGATTACTCCGGCTGAGGTTTGGAGAATGGATTAGAGGGTGGCAAGAGTATGTGTATGAGGACAGGTTAACAGGTTTTTTTGATTTCCAGTTTAAGGTGACAGTTTGAATACAGGTATTTACTCCCATTCCTTCCAGAAATCCTAATAAAATGATAGAAAAGAACTTTTGAAAGAAGCAAAAACTGATGCGAATGAAGATAACAGAGTAGGAGGCAGCAGTGATAAAACTTTGTGAGCAGGAAACAGGTGGATAGGTCCTAAGTTCTTTTGTGAATCCAGGAGGGCTGAATCCTAAATTGACAGAAAAGGTAAGAAGCAATCTGATGTGCACCAAATAAGTCCTAAAGGCCTTAGAAGCCCTCAGTATCTTTTGCTGGGGAAGGAGGTGAAAACAGTTGGCTGAACATTAATTTGTAAAGCACTAAAGACAGGCACTTAAGATTCCTTTCTAGTACCAAGAAACCTGTGTCTACCCCATTAGAGCAGAAGACTGAAAGCTTATTCCCTGGAGAGAGTCTGACTAGGGGACAATGGGTCAAATGAGATCAGGGTTTCTATTATATAAAAGACAGTATGTAAATGATGAAACTGAATAATGAAACTCACACCCTTTCCCCACTAAACTGGGCAGCCAGGCTTAAATTCTCCAGGAAGAAGGTTCTTTCTGGGGAATCTGATCAGCACTACAAGAGAGAAGAAAGAAAAAATACTGACATGGGGTAATGCCTGAAGAAAGCCCGGGCAAATCACGGTATACATTGTAGCCCAGTCAAGGAGCCCCACCTGTCCTTCCTTCACTTGATATTAGCCAAAAGGCTGAGAAGCGATTCC